CACCGAAGATAACCCTGTGGGTTCGCAGAACGGGCCCTTTCGCGGAGGAAGATATACACTCTTAGGGGTAGACCCAGAGCCAGACGACATGTCCACCATACCTGAAGGCGTAGTTGTCCAACAACTCGAGAATTCACTGGCTTCTCTCTCCTTCAGTGAGGTTCCTACGAATCTTTGGCCGGATCTACAAGATGCGGCTCCATTTGAACTGCGGGATGTGCCTCAGTTGAAGCAACTGGGACCTTGGGCACAGCCGGGTCTGGGTTTCTTCGTCGCTACTTTTCCCAACGGAACAACGACTGGTATTCTCCGACACCGCGCAATGCGATTCAATTCGACGGTCCGATGTACTGAAATCGAGCAATCCTCGTTTCCCGTAACTTGCACGGGCGGAAATCCCTTTACCTCTGGTTTCACTTCATCCGGTCAATTTGGAGCGAATATCTGCGTTCCAGGTCAGCGTGGAAAGTTTCCATGGCAGCTTTCTCGCAACAGGCAGGACACTGTTGAAGATATTTTTGTGGATGTCAATACAACGGATAAGAATGATGCACCGGTAAGCTACACGCAACATTGCACTGTCAAGACTACGCGAGGCTATTTCGAGCTCGGCAACTATCGCAACAACTACGTATATGGTCCCTTGTTGGAGCGTTGGGACGAGCCAGACCCATTTGCAGAGAGGGCACAGTACAACGACTACCTTTCGGATCTTTGGAGAGACGGCAACAGGATGGAAGTAGATAAAAATGGGAATGTGTTGAGTAGTTTCCAGGGACGATGGCGCCGTCCGTCAAAAGAGGATGGATTGACGGATATCCCGGGCTGGTAAGAGATCTAGCATACATATACATGGCATGGATATCTGCTAAATGACTCTGTTTAAGGCCAGCATCCGAATCCACGCCATCAAGCTGGCCCATTGGCCCTACCTTTAAAGACACAAACACGACAATGTCAGGTCCATTAATGACCTCCGCCATCGCATTATTCGGCGAAAACTCCCTCTTTGCAGTCGCCAACACATCCACAAACGCCACCACGCCTCTCCTCCTCGACCAAATCTGTCGTCTCAACCGCCTCCCCTTCTCCACATTCCGCAGCTACCGCGACTACACCGCCGCATGTTCCTCTCAAGCAGACGATACCCAGCGCCTCCTCCAAATAATGCAAAACTTCACAACAGTCCTATTCTCAGACACAACAGCCACAGAACGCTACCTCTCCGCAAGCATGTACGTCTTCTCTCCCTCTTCTCCTCCCCCCATTCTAACCTCCCAAAAAGCTTCCACGCCAACCGCGCCCTCCTAACCCAAACCTCGCTCAAAACCTCCGGCACAACCGGCCGCCCCCTACATTCCTCCCCAGGAGCTTTCATTCCCGCCCCTAGCATCTCGCTCACAGGCGTAACCCTCGTCTCCCTCCTACTCCTCCTCCAGCTCTTCGGTCTCGCATACCTTGCATACTACATCTACAAAGTCCCTACCTGGACCCCGCATCTCGACGCCCTGTCCATTGCTCGCATCACAGCTAGTCTCAACCGCGGTATCGTGCCGGGGCTGGGCGCCATGTATGCATCTGATATGCAGCGTCTGGATAGCACGGATGCGACGGTTGGGATCGTCGAGGGGGAGTACGCTTCTGATTCTGCAGAGCCGGTGACGGAGGGTAAGACGGTGGAGTTGGGACTCGGTGCTTCGGGTGTGTTTACGAGGCGCTTGGCGAGGTTTAGAGTAAGGAGAGCTGAGGCGGCGAGTGAGATGGAATGTCGCTGTGAGGGGTGTAGGAGGCGTGATAGGGGAGGGAGTGTGTCGTCGACTTCTTCGTATAGGTAGATTTTTTGGGTATAGAGAATAGAGCATGATTTAATGACTACGCTCCATTCTTATGCCATGTATCAATTACACTGTTTTCCATTCTTCCTGCCTTTGTTCATTGCTGTCTCCAAAAACACAATTCATTATCGTCTCGTATCCAAAAAAAAACAGTGTGGGTATTAGTCTGTCCCACACCCACGCCGCCCATCCAAAAGATATTAATCTTGCTCCTACCTCGCATCTCGACGCCCTGGCAAAAGGGCTTTTAGTGGACCAGCAAATCGTGGTATCCAGTAATGGCCCCTCCAGGTGATCCTATGTTATCGACTCGCACCTCAAAGACCCGTTAATATGTTATAGTCAGTGAGTATATCGATGCAACCATTAATCGCGGACTTATCGCACGCAAACGCTCCTATTGTAGACTGGAATGCGGCCTGAGTCGTTGATAGCGGTCAAGAGGCAAGGTTTGAATGAAACAGGTTAACCCTGCCGCAGCGAGAGCAGGACTTCTCGCTGCCTACTTAAAAGAGTAGCCATCTCCCTAGTTAGATTTAATCCGATAGATCCCACTCGTTGAAGTATGCCTTTGAGGTGCTAGAACACGCTCTAGGACATAATTGGTGAACTCCTGAGATAAACTCATGGACTTCTCGTCACAAGCCTGTGAGATACTAAAGCATACCTAAGGACTTATTGTGTTAAATGCCTTTGAGAAAACTTAAGGACTTCTCGTTAATGATCTGTTGAAGTGAGTATGTTTAAATCAAAGGTAAGAAGGGTAAAAATGAGAAGGGGTTAGACGATCAGTTTGAGCAAGAGCTTAAGTTAGTCTACAGCCTCTAGCTAAAATGGCCTTTAATTTAATAGCGTGACATAATAATAGCTACTCTTAGGACTGGGTGGAAAGCGGATCGTCTCTAAGACTTTTGAGCGTTTTTAAAGGTAACGGTGTTACGTACTCGATTTCGCAGTCGAGGCACGTTGATTGCAGTGCTATTGGCTTCTAATATAGCCATCAACAGGCCAGATATGATCGCAGGGTCGCTTGTGTCTCGAATCTCCGCCAGTTTGGCAGCTAAAGCTGTTCTGTATGCTGCTGCGCGGCTGCCCACCTCGAGTATGGCGACCGCTGTGCCAAGAAAACTGCGATATCGATTGGCAGCTGCGTATCTGCGAATATCGCGATAGATGCTGTTGGTATTGAGTATGGTGTTGAGTATGGCTATAGTTGACGCTACTAGTAGTAGTCCCTAATTGGCTGATCAGTTATGTGGCATGTACAATACCGCGGAATGCAATGACAGATAATATTGTAGTAGTAGCAGACGCGTGGGTCGAATTGGTATGAAAAGGGTTTGCACTTCTGATTTCTAGCTTGAAGGGACAAGAAGCTGGTAAGCCCTCTGATAAAGCTCAGAACATGGGTCGAAGAAGCTGAGATCTGGCTACACCTTGTAGGTTAAGAGCACTAGAGTTCCAACGCTTTTCGGCAAAGCAGCAAGGCCCATAAGGGTCTCCTGAGGGTTGTCATTCTAATTTCTAGCTTGAAGGGATAAGAAGCCAATGAAATCCCCTTCTGATAAAGCTTAGAATATAGGTAGAAGAAGCTAGTCGAAGACGTAGGGAATCGGTTCGACTCGAGTAATTGGACGCGGAGAGTAAAGCCGACTCGGACCGGACGATTGACTAAGCCTCGACAAGTCGATAATTAGGGCTACAAAATGAACGCGGTATCCTTTAAGTCTTTATTGTTATCCTCTTCTTTTACTTCCCTTCTTTTACTTCCCTTCTTTTACTTCCCTTCTTTTACTTCCCTTCTTTTACTTCCCTTCTTTACCTCCTTATTTAACTTGCTGGACTTCCAGTGCGAACACTGTATCCCTAGCGGAAGAAGAATAAGGGAGGTCCTCCACCTACTAAAAGTCGCTCGAGATGCCCCGGCAGCCTAGATGATGTGCGTCGACAGACCAGAAAAAGCTTATGAATCGGTCGGTCGTTCGTTCGCTCGTTCGTTCGTCCGTTCGTCGATGAGTTGGTTGTAGAAGAGTAATGCAAACTGCGGGGCGGAAGCATTTGCCTACGTGAGTGCCATTTTAGGCAAGAGCACGAGAACTTCAGTATAGGAGGAGTGCGTAGGAATCACACGAGTACATTAAAACACTAGAAATATTGCAAAGTCTTGCTAATTGTAATGGGAATATTTAAAATAACGGGTGTACTATATGATAGCTTATGATCTAGTAAACTGGGTGAACGAAGGAACAATCTCTATTAAATCACACAATGCATGCGCGCCTTAGTTCTCGTTTGTGGCAATTATGTTGTATCTTCATTTCCATGAATCTATATTATCGCTATTAGGGAACAGTCCAGCATTAAGTTCGTCTTGGCGACAAGAGTGGTTGTCTTGCTGTACCCCTAGATCGCGGTAAGATGCGAACTCGTCCTAGGGGAGCCTCTATACGACTTTTTACCGTTATGCTTCGTTGGCCGTTCTGTTTGCCTAACAGAACTTCCTAGCTTTAGGTTACGGCAACCTAAAGTACTGCGGGATCTGAAAAGATGTTATGCGCTTATCTGTACTGACACCTCTAGGAATGAAATCTGAAAAGATGTTATGCGTTCTTTCGCACTGCTATCTCCAGGGGCAAAAGATGCTATGATCTTTTAAGTCCTGCGACTAGTAGAACTTGATAAACTACTGACCTCTTTAGGTGTAGTAAGATCGTCTGGGGGTAACGTATTGCGATCTTGATTACCTTCGTCGCTATTCTTGAAGTTGCTAATTTATGCGAGAATCTCTAACATACGTGCTATATCCGGAATAGCTTTCCTCTCTTTGAGGTGGTTAAGGAAGTCTTGGCCGTCAAAGGTAGTAATACCACCAAGTCCTCGAAAGTTGCGGAGATTAGTTGGGGTAATCTCTGGACATACCTTGTTAAACTGGAAGATTAACTGTGCAGTTACGCCACAGTGATCTATAATCTATTGCAAGAAGCTCTTCAAGTAGTTGGGCCTAGTGTGAAGGCCATTAGGCGCGCGCACTAGTATAGTCACCTTCTTGTTCCGAATCTCTGCCTTATTGAACTAACTTCGAATATCTGTTACGAAACTAGATATTTTACCCTTCGCTCTAAACTAGTTGGTTGGATGGCCGCTGTGTCTAATACCACAGTAGGACTATACTCTGGTAAAAGTCATGGGACTCGGGCAATTCGCTGCAAGGCGATCTGCCAGGATGTAGCCCTCTGCCTTCCGACGATCGCAGTTGGCCGTAACTCGCTTAGCGAAAGTCATGGTATTTTCGGGGCCTACCTTGATTGGTTTGCCGGAGGATAGCCGGTAAATTATAATGTAAAACTCCCCCGTGGGCTGTACGGGTGGGAGTGGAACGGAGGGCAGGTTGACGGTCTCCTCCGATTGTGCTTGAGTGGGAGAGGAGCTTCGGGGCAAGGCTGGCAAGCTACTTCCCTCTTCTACCTCTTCTGATATAGATATAGTCGGAGCTTGCTTACTGACTCTGTCTTGGTGTTCGCCGTCGTCGTCGTCGTCGATATACTTATATTCTAGTTCTCGGTTAGTATGTTTGATCGACTCGCCTTTATCTGAGAGAACTCTAGATTCTTCTTCTCTTCAGCTCGCTATGCTGCATGCTTGATGTACGCTGTTGCTAACGATAAATCCGCTCTAAATTAAATCTTGAGCGGCGGCTTCTTGTCTTCTAATAGACTCACCTTTATTAGTAGGGAGGTCTGGCTCCTGCTCGTCCTTATCCTCTTCTTCTCGCCTTGTTATAGGCTTGTTGAAGGCTACTGATGATGATTCTGCAGCTGCAGCTGCGTCAGCCTCCTCTTGAGCGGCCGCTGCTTGCTTAGCTGACATCGCCAGCCGCTTTGGCTTCGGTGGGCGCATCTTGCGATAGCCACGCCTCTTGCTAGACTTCTTACCTATGTTTTTAGTAAAAAAACGGAAATTTGAAAATGAAAATGAAAATGAAAAATTTAGGTACGGGTGATGAGGAAAGAAAATGTGAGATGAGATGGGAAGGCGCACCTAGAAGGAAGGCATGCCTATCTTAATGCACAACATGTACTTATAGCCCTAAGAGTAGTATTTTCTGCATTGATGCTGCTAATTAGAAGTTACTATGAGGTTTCTCTTGATTCCTGTATTACCCTACACTTAATTATTAGTCGATCTAATAATAATACTAAGACTCGTATAAGAGAAGGTCTAGAACATAAACTATACTTACGTAGCTCTAAGAACAGCATATTATATATTAGAGTTACTATTTAGAAGCTATTATAAAAGATAGTTATATAGAGTAAAGCAACTATAGCTAAGACTAGAGCATTTCATTTTATAAAATAGCAAGAGATATAACTAAGCTAATTTAATATACAGTAGTATTAATCACATTAGGCATAACATGTATGCTGAGACAACAGCCAACCCTACACATCACTTCTAGTTTCATCCTTTCTTCTTCTTATTCTACTAGTTATCTAAAGAGAATACGTATATATTACTTATTATAACAAAGGGAAATAAGCATAATAGCGCGTAGGGAGTTTAAGCGGCCGTTAAATAGAAATTATATAGAGAATTTACTTCTATTAGCGTAGCCTAGTAAAGAAGCGATAAAAGAAGATACTTACTTTTAGATACTACTAATTTTAGCTTACTACCTTAGCACTACATGCCTAAACACTATAAAGTTCCCGTCGTGAACCGCGCGGAGGTATGGCTAGAGTCATGACTAGGTTGTTCTAGAGGTTAGCCCAACCCCTCTGAGATTTCTCTCAAGTTAGTTATTTTTCTTCTTCTTACTAAACGACTTCACGATCTCAGAAAATTGCTGGTTTATAAGAGTCGCGGCTGCTAGTATAGCTTCAGGGCTTAACAGCGGAATAAACCTACCCCAGTTCTTCAACGTAGGGTCAGCTGCCATGCACTCCTTATTAGGGAAGTGATATTGGCTGCACGAAGAGCACTTCAGCATCCTACACTAACCGCCATAGAAGTTGCCACATCGCCCGCACCAGCGATTAGCCTTCTTCTTCTTAGGGGGCTCCTTGATAGGTTCTCCCTTTTCTCGAGCGGGACCTAAAGGCTCAGGCCCCTTAGTAAGTCCTCCCTCTTCTTGAGAGGGATCTAAAGGTTTAGGCACTTCTGCCGTAGCCTTCTCCTTCTTGTATTCCCTTAGCAATACTTGTCTAATATAAAGTTTAGATCTATCTTCTTCGTTTATACACGGCGGAGGGTGGGAACGTCCGCACTCCTCGCAAGTCAGCTTACCACCATCACGCCACTCGCTGCTTGCATTATTAATTCCCTTAAGCTCTTCCTCTCCTAAGCTAATTAGCTTGTCGAGGGGATCGTCCGGGTTTGCTTATCTAGACTAGGCGATAGTCATTAACTTAGTCTCATCTTTTAATAGTGCCAGAGCGTTATCACGTCTCTAGCGACGCCTCGAAACGGGAGCTGCACCTCTATCATTACTTAGCTCTATTAGGGTAGTACCCTTCCTCTTTTGCGCGGACTGCTTACACGCACGGGCGTCACGCATAACGACTTCATTAGTGTTGGCAGACATAGCGACTGTAGACTTGTTAGAAACTGTGCAATATTAGGGAGCTGTCCTACCAAGGAGATAGAGAGAGAGAGAGAGAGAGTGCGTGTGTGTGTGCGTGTGTGCGTATGTGTACGAATTGAAAAAAAAAGAGTAGAAACGAGCGAGCTAATCTAGGTGTTGTAGTAGCAAACAAATGCCAAGCCCCACGGGGCTCGGCGAAAGTGAGTAGTGAATGGTGAATAGTGAGGATACTGTACCATGCGCTGGTGGCCTCGCACGATACTAGAGTTTAGCGCACATGCATTTGATCATTTCTGGTTGTAGTACAGGAATAAATAGATTCTGCTCACAGATTTCATGGAGTTTCTTGTTAAGCAAAGTCCCTGTTGTAGACGATGATATGAATGCACGGTGAGATGCATCTTGACCGGACGCCATATCAAAACACCAGCGCAATGTCTCTCGTTCCTCAGAGCAAGAACCAGCAAATAAATCCACTTATTCATGCACTATAAAAGACTTGTGGTGATAAGACTTTTGCGTGTATCAAAAGTGCAAATTCGATTACCAATAATGCCTCTTGCAGCTATCCAACATCAAATTGAAATTGTCCCTTCCTTGTTTTTAACTTGGCCACCCTTCACCCGGAAAACAGAGGTATAAGTGAAGGTCGATGCAAAAGTAAATGGGGCTAGGGGTGCAAACTAGTGAAATTCAAGAGGCTGACATGATAGCTAAAATCTATGGATAACCTGGCCATCAGCCTGGTTGCCGTTACTGTTGGGGCGGTTGGTCGAGGTCGTCATCTCCATCTGGCTGGTGCATCCAGTCGGTCTGCTGTATGCCTTGATGAATCTGGTCGTGCATCTGCTGTTGCGGTTGCGGTTGCTGCGGCTGCGGCTGCTGTTGGTAAGGCATGACCAACTCCGAAGGGTCCAGACTCATATTGGCAGACGATGCTGATTGCCACCAAAGATTCTGCATGTCGAGGATTGGAGGTCCCTGATCAAAAGTTGTCGTGAAAGGGTTTCCGAATGAAAAGGCCATGGATTGGTCGTACTCGATAGGGTATGGATAGATGGGGTCCGGGAACTGCTCCGAGAGGAATGGTGGGAAAGTCTGTGAAGACACTGCTGGATAGATAGGTTCGCTTGATGTATCCCAGGACTCTTGTTGTGGAATGTTGAAATCTTGGGAACGCTCCCATGTCCTGGATTGCGAAGGCTGATCACCATCATCATTCATGAGCTCCTTGACCTGTTCTCTTAAGCTAGGAGCACATGTGTTTAGGATCTTGTAAACCACGCCGTGAGCTCGAGAGGCGACAGGGTCGTTGACTCGCAAAGCACGGAGCCAACTCATCAACTTCTTGATACATTTCATGATGTTTTCTTTGTCATCCTTCAAATTTTGGCCCTCGTAAGACATCTCCAGCAAAAGCACAGCCATGCTCTGCATGACTTTTGCAATAATTATCAGTAAATTTCGTCACTAGTCGGGTCTACAAGACTTACTGATGTGAACTACATCCCACCACGGACCATGAGAGTAAATGAAGGTCTTGTCTGGCTGGTCGGGAAACAATGATGTTATTTGTTCGGCCGCTTGAACACACAACTCGGCCGTTTTTGCGTTGAAGATGGCCGACCGGCTGCTCTCAGATTCTATTCGTCTCTCGATTCTACAGAGACAAGGTCGTGTGATGAGGATCCTCGTGCTCCAATAGTAAATTCTGAACAGGTAGCGTTCGCGATCGACGTCGGGTTGCGGGGCCCAGCTACTTGCATGAAGATCTTCAGACGGCGAAGCTATCTTGGCCCAATCATCCAGTTCATTGAGAAGCTCCGTGATCCTTGTCTGGATGTGCTGTGAATCATAGTCGTTAGCAAATCCAAGAGATAGATACATGTGAAAAAGAGCAGCCAAGCAGTACGGTTCTGGACATACCTCCCAGGATCGAGCTGCAGTCCGTGGGGAATACAAGCTAAGAAGAACCTTTTGCGAGATAAGATTCAAATTGATGTATGCAACCAAATAACTACTGTCATCAGTACCTCTATCGGACTGAGAGGCGCTACTCCTTGCGCTTGATTGTGGTGATTCATAGCTTGTACGGACGCGGGAAGATTGTCTAGATGAACTGTTATCTGGATTTAACGGCCCGGAATTGGATTTTGGTAAAGAGACAGTACAGTCCTCATGTCCAATAACCGGGGGACGGCCCGTGATGGATGACACAAGACATTCGATAGCGTGCAGACACCACCATGTCCTCACTAGCGGCTCTTTCTTAGAGTCTTCTAGTGCTGTGTTCTCATTGCGTAGATGAAGGCCGAGAGCCAAGGCCAGTCTGATAGAAACTCCGATCATGATCCACGCCCTACTAACATGGCCGATTGCAAGGAAGTAAAATGCCAGGGCACCAGTCTGTAGTTTTAAACATCAGCTGCCATTATGGAGAATGAAACATAGGCCGCTTACAGCCTGAACCCTATCCATGGTAGGTGCTGCAATAAACACTATGGGGTCACCTAGACGTAGAAGATGCACTGCACGAGTCATGTAGATCAAGTGATCTCTTTCGTCTCCTCTCCATGGAGCTCCGATGAGCTGAGAGTATTTCGCTCCGATTGCAAAGAGGAGATTCATGGTAATACGCCATTTTGGAGGGATCTCGTATTGGCGTTTCTGTTTTGCAGATTGTATGTAGCGGCGAAATTGACCCTCGAAATTGACCGGCATGAGTGGAAAAGTACTGTGCACGGTTTCGAGATAGCAGTTGAAGAGGTTCTCGGCAACTCCTGGTTCCGGCATTTCGTAAGGATCGACCGCTATATCGATCTCGATGTCGTCGCTATCCAGATAGAAGGTTGCGTCAGTTGTGTGTTGCATGGAACCTTGACTGGTATTCTGTCTTCGTTCATGCAAAGCCTCGACTCGTTCATTGACGGCTTTCGAGCTTGAGCCGGGAGGACCGTGTCTTTGGCCTTCGGGATTCGTACTTCCACGTTCAGCTTGGCGTTGAACGCTTCGCAGCCATTGTACCTCAGAGTTTTGGCCTATATAGCCGGTCTCTCTCGCTTCGCGGTTACGCATCAAATCTTCGTCCAAAAAATCGAGATCTTCATTCGAACCAACTGATGCGGTAACGAAAGCCTCTCCATGGTTAGTAGTTTCTGGGTCCTTTTCCCCTGAGGACGGTTCGCGTGGTCTTTTCCCCAACGTTTTGCTCAATTGAACAGAATCCAAGGAGACCAGGTCGTCTTCTACCTATAAAGACTAATGATTAGCAGAATATGTGGCGCCACATGGCAGATACGCATGGCAAACGTACATTCTGTAATACTTGGTTGATGGTTTTCTTGTCTGCATCGCCGACGCGTCCCTCCAATGCCCTCAGGAGGTTAACAAGATCCTGATTCAACCGCATCGCCCTGAAGAGTCAGCGCGAAATTACATGACGATGGTGTCTTGGAAACACACTCTCCCAGTCGATCACGCCGTGCAGAGTCATAGACACAGACTGAACCGGCTCGTTCGCAAGTGGCGCAACGCGGCGTCTCACCTGAACATCGGACTTCTGTGTTCAGAATTAGCTTGATGAGTCAATTTCAAGAAAAAGATTAACGTGCTTCGTTTGCGGCAGGCTTTGCATGCTCTTGCTCTACAGAAATATGTCAGTCTATCGATTGCCTTTGAGTGGTTGTTACTGACACCCGATCTTCTTTCTCAACTTTTTCCTGCTTTTCCTTACCAGGGCGCGGCGGCAGCTTTGGTATTGCGACCTTCCCGCCATGTTCAGGAATGGATGATTGATATGGGTTTCCTTGCATCACGGAAGCTGGCAGGCAGCGAACGCACGCTAAAGAGCACACTACCAGTTCACTGGAGCTCACGTAGTACCGTCTGTGTGCCTATATTGTTTCAGATTTTGTGGGACGCGTAAGGGGAGATGGATGGTCGAAGAAGATGGATGTGTGAGAGGATGGGTGTGCAAAGATGGACACGAGGTATACCAGCCCGAGGACGGACTAGGATGGGGAGGGCAGACTGCGCAATTTTATCTGCGGTAAGTATGCATACCAATTCAGGTATACAATGAGCTTCCTGTAGAGGCCTGTTGTCCGACAGCAGTCGCTCCGTTAATGCTGAAGAGGAGGTAAAGAGGGTGTCTTGTTTTGAGAAATATGATTCGCGGGAACCAATCCCGGTGCTGGATTATTCAATCATTTGCGCGCAGCAACTGTGAGCTCGTTTTTTCTGGAAAAAAACATGACTAACATGCATAGAGAATTTCATACCGACCTACTTCAACTTGAAACCAGCAACTGCTTCTTACACGCACAGCCTGCAGTCTTGATCCGGTTTTGTTCCGTTGGGATCGCGATCGCATAGGCCACCAAACGTCACCAGCGAAAGACGGTTGCCACGCCCCATCCCCCACCCAGGCATGTTACTTGGCGGGAAGGAAATAGAATCGCACACAGCACTGTGACATGCTCGGGTATTTGAGGAAATGTTAAATTATCTATAAATTGTTAGAAGACATGGCATGATGGTGACTTTGCTATGCGCATGTATATACGTCATATTTGGTGTACCTGTCATGGTGCTGCTTCATCTGTCATGTAAACACGAAGTACTTGCAGGTTTGATTTAGGTCCATAGTCGAACCGTATTCTTCGTTTCCTCGACGTCTTTGGAAGCTTATTCCACTGACTAGGTGGTCTGGCCCCTCGAGTATGCAGTCTGCCTAGGGAGGAAACATTTACTAGCTCGCTCCAAGAAGCTAGCGTGTATGCACAGGGCTGGATATCCCATCTTCTCACCACCAAATCCTGCCGTTCTTCTTCCCATGTAGCGCATTTACCAAGGTCACTTCGCCCGCACTCGACACATTTTCGCTAGAACGATGGAGTCCATAACTTACTGAGTGGAAAATCTTGCATCCGACGCGACGTTATCCTAATGCCTTGTATGTATACATAAAGTATACATTTGGACCACTCGGAAATGTTCCGGACTGCCACAGGGCCCATTGATAGTGGATATTAAGGGCATCACAAAACATGGCGAGCGGAAGCGCTAGCAAATCAGATCAACCAAGATAATTCTTTAGCCTGTCTAGTCCTGGATGTATTGTGTTGCCCTGGTTTCGCCGCGCCTCCCCCGGTGGTTCCGCCCTAATCAAGGTACCTTGCTCCGTGGGTGTGCTTTTAGCGTATCTCACATCAGAGAGCAAGAGCAGAGGCATACATAACTGACTAAGCTAAGGCGCTACAGGAATGATTCAGTAATGAAAGCAAGGAAATTTTTATATCGTATGTTATTCCACCTATCCTACTGCGGGCAAATTCAACCAGCATACACTTACCTGACTGTAGTATGGATTCAGGTATAAAGATATTCTAGCAGAATTGTTAGAGTAGGACCGACTTACAACATTCCAAAGAGAGTTGAACCATACATCGGTGCTGGAGGAGAGATTGTGAAAATATCAACCTTGTCATCTGACGGGCTGCATCATGGTCAAGACCAGGATTGAATCACTGTGGCACGAGTACAACGACGAGGCAACCAATATGAATTCACCAACCCCCCTAAAACCGTATCCATGGTAGTATGCATGTCAGGAACATTATCACTGCTCTGGTAGTGGCGTACTTCGGTCTTACTTGTATTCTACACAATGTCGTAGCACTCCGATCCAAAAACATCCGTCCTGGACTTGATGGACGGCTATGCAGCTATTTTGGAAGCCTCAAAACACCTATATATGGATCAGATTTGGATTTATACAGATGCGCATAGCAATGCCTCTGTTTTTGATAGCACCGCATTCACAACCTAGCCACTGTACACTTTGAGCATCGGAACACCTGGTCCATGTTTGTTATCAGCGCACCTGCATTAGCAGGCAACACTACATGAACAATCGAGCATCGGAAAAGCAGACAACGCATCTAGCACACCACTTGTAAGCAAAATCCCTCAAGCCCGTACTTTTAGTATCACAACATCGCGATGGTAGATACGGGGCTGATGATAGTCAAGCCAAATACCGCCGCCAGATGGGCCCAGGGATCCGGGTACCCAATTGGCCTCCTCCATGACACACGCTACCAAGCCCAATGCAGCCTAGTTGCCCAAGCTCTTCGCGATGCACCCTATTAACCACCGATCCTCAAGTCGTCTTTCTCCTCTGCTGGCCCCAATAGCCACACTGCCACCCATATTACGGAGACGGGCGCACCGAACGATGCACAGCGACAAACCCGATCTCTACTCATCGTGTAATCTCACCGGATCCACTCGTCGCAAAGCAAAACTACCCACTCTCTGCTCGCAAAGATAGCCCACAACCCGGCACTTGATGAAACGTAGCGAAGTGAAAGAAAGCGAAAAGTACAAAAGAAAAAAAATTACAGACGGGAAGTCTGGGCCCTGCTCGTCGTATGATTCCATCTGGACCGAGGCGGCCCAGAAGCGGGCCAAAGGAAGTAAAGGAAAAAAAAAAGAGTTGAGTGATCGAGATCTTGTTCCAGCACTCTCTCTCCTTCTAGCATGTGGAAAGCCAAGAACGAGGCTGCGATGTTTCGCCATTTGCAAAGAACTTCACAACTGTGAATTGCAAAAAGTACTGAAATGAACAGAAAAGAAAGAAGAGGACGATGCTGCAACAAAGAGTAGTTATCTGACCGATTCGAGGGGAAAAAAAAGGGATCAGGCTAGAAATGATGAACGGAAAAATGGGGAAAGAAACTACCAACTTATAATTTCCGTGAAAACCTTTGGTTTGGAGAGTAGTAACACCAAAAAAAAACTACTACTACTACTGGAGATACGTCGTGGATAAGCTACTCAAAGCAAGACAAGCAAGCAAAAGCAGACATGAACAAGACGCCAGAATCCCATCTTTCCATAACAACCCTAATATTCCCCCCTCCGTTCATTGAGCATACATTGAGCATCCTTCCCTCCCCCTCATCCCCCCAAACCGCAAACCACCTACACTACGTCTTCTGCATGCCCTCCACGAACTCCAGCGCAGCCTCCCTCTCCACAACATCAATACTACTCGTCTTATTCGAATAACTAACACCATAGCACCGATCCGCCACATGCACCATCTCAGGTCTAAACGTGGTACAAATGAACTGACCGCCTCCATCACCCTTCTTGCCGCCATGGCCACTGAGCCGCTGCAGCATCTGCGCAACAGCAGTACGGTACTGGGCATCGAGATTGGCGTCGATTTCGTCAAAGAGGTAAAAAGGAGCGGGGTCGCATTTTTGGATGGCGAAGATGAGAGCGAGGGCGCAGAGCGACTTTTGGCCACCGGATAACTGGCCGATTTTTTGTTGCTCGTCGTGCTTGCTGTTGAAGGATACGGCGATGCTGACGCCCGTGTATTCTTCGACTTTGCTCTTCTTGCTGCGCGACTGCGCGCCGTTGTCATCGTCTTCGTCGTCTTCGTCGTCCGACACGTTGCCTCGGGCGTCGCGGTCGGATTTGCGGTTGATGATGAGGCGGCCGCGGCCGATGGGGACGAGTTGCTGGAAGACTTCGCCAAAGGCGGCGGCGACTTGCTTGAAGGTACGCGCGATGGCTTCGTCTTTGCGCTGGTCTAGTACGTCGATGAGATTCTCGATTGACTTGCGCGATGTGTCGAGTTCGGCGCGGCGCTCGGTCAGGGTGCGGCGTTGGCGGGTGAAGTTTTCGTACTGTTCGAATGCTTTCTTGTTGACGTGGGCGAAGCTCTTGAGGGCTTGGTTGACTTTGGTGAGCTCCTTGGTAACCTTGGATATGTTAGCAAATGAACCGATACTCGTATCATGAGTGCATGACAGCCTACCTTCATGGTGTCCCATTTTGTGTATTTCCGATTAACGTCTTCCGGCAGAGTACCTAAATCTCTGATATCCCGCTTCACTTCGGCCAGTCGATCCGTAAGACGGCTGCGATCTGAATCCTTCTTAGACATTGCATGCTCTTGCTTGGCCATCATCTTTGCCAACTGGCGGTTGTTGGCCTCCTTTTCGTTTCTTGCATTCTCTAGCTCGCTCAGCTGCGCCCGGATATCTTCGATTTGAGCATCAGTCTCTTGTATCTGCTGATCGAGATTGGCAATAGTCCGGTTGATATCGTCCAACGCACGTTCACACTCCCGTAACCGTGTAGACTGGCTGGTCGATCCACCGGCACCACCTTGTTGTGCCTGAATGTTGTCGAGCTCTGGCTGCAGGTTTTCGTTCAGATCTAGCTCAGCCTCAACCTTGCGGGTCTCTAGGGTAGTCCGCTCTTGCTTGGCACGAGCAAATTGCCGTTTCAGATCTTGTACTGTACTTCGCAGTGTTGCCAGCATCTGTTCCTCGTCATTCGACAACGCTTTCTCAAACTTGGAAGCAATTTCGGCTTCCCAGTCACTCTGTTGGGCGCCCAGTTGATTGATGGCGGATTGAAGTGTCGAGGCAGTCATTTGCTTCCTAGCCAAAGTGTCCTGGATATCTCTCAGAGACCGCTGCTTAGTCCGCAGTTCTTCCCTCATTGGCGCATAGCTGTTCTCGCCCTTGTCTTTCTCATGTTCGCGTCGGCGAACCTCGCTCAAAGCTGCAGTAAGTTGCTGGCGCTTCTGCTCGAATTCGGCCGCGATGTCACGTTTGCGCTGCTGCAGCTCATCATATTGCGTGCGCATCTCAGCGAGCGTTTGGTAGGCACGGATCTTGGATTTTGTAGGATCATGGTAACCTCCACGGTACTGGCCCTTGCGTGAGGCATTGTCTCCGTCGAGAGTGTATGCGCGAACATTGTACTGCTTTGCGTTTTTCTTGCAGGCAGTCAGGTCGGGACAGACGACGATCTTGCCAAAGACATGTTTGAATGCCTCGTCAAATCTTTGGTCATATTTCAGCTTTGGCAACAGTGGTTGCATATCTCCAGTTGCCGGAAGGTTCATATCATGAGCCCTTATACGGTTAAGAGGAATGAAGGTGATACGTCCGCCCTTGTCCTTGATGAGTCTGTCGATGAGTTTACTAGACACTTCGTCGTTGTCTACGACAACATTGAAGAGAGCACCCTCGGCTGCAGCTTCTGTGACGGCCCTGTAGTCACTGCTGACGTCGAGCAGGTCCGCAATAGTTCCATGCACACCTTCGAGGTCTCCTTCTTTCTGGTATCGACGGAGTGACTCCAGACCGCGACTTGTGCCATGATCAAGCAGGCGGGAGAAGGTGCTCTCTGCTTTCCGGAGCTCTCCCAGGGCGTTTGTGAGTTGGGTATTGACTCTGTTCTCCTCTCTGTAGAGATTTGTCTGTTCGTCGTGGATGGCCTTGTAGGCGTCTTTGGCTTGCTCGACCTTGGCCGCGAGATCAACACTGGCGTCTCCTTCGCTCTCGATAGTGGACCTGAGAGTGGCAATCTCACTTTCGATGCGCTGAATGTCGCTTTGAAGCTGGGCAATCTCTTCGTTTGTCTGCATAAGAACAGCCTTGCGACGGCTGAGATCGCCATTGGACTGCTCTATTTGAGCACGCAGAGCTTCGTCTCGCTGTTTTTTGGTAGTGTAGAAAGCAGTGCGGCCCTGTTTCTCCTCTAGTCGCTTCTGCTGACCTTCAGCTTCCAATAACTGTGCCCTGACAGCCTCCTCCTCTTCCTTTTTAGCGTTGTATTCAGGCAAAAGTTGCTTGAGCTCAGCCTCGCGTGCTCGGATCTGCTGCTGGAGTGACTTGACTTGCGTGTCGCGTGACCTTTTCGTTCGTTGAGCGGCTGACTGATTGTCCTGTAACGCTTTGAGTTCAAGCTCGATCTTGGCCTTTTCCAATGTTGCTGATTTGCGCTCCTGTTCAGACTGCACGCGGTCTTCTCTCAAGACGTCTAGATCACCTCTCCGCTTGTTGATATCCATGTCGATTTGTGCGATTTCAGATTCGGTCTGCACAAAGGCTGCCTCGTTGGTCTCTTTCATCTCACGGCCCTGGTTTTCAAGATGGTCAATGTTCTCAATCAAGGCCTCGAGGTCGGCTTCTTCGCGCGACTTGAGCGTATACATCAAAGAGCGACGTTCCTTGTCGTTTCGACTCCAAGCCTCAAGCTCTTCTTTTTCACCCTCTAGTTCATCCAAGCGCTCATTGATGGTTGCCACAACTCCGTCAATATTGGCGCACTTGCTGTCTGTGTCGGCGAGCAGCTTCAAACTGTTTGCACGGCGCTCTTCGTATACGTTAGATCCGGAGATTTCCTTGAGCAGTTTGAGACGCTCAGAGTCCTTCATGTTGGTGAGTGCTGTTACACGGCCTTGGGGAACGATGTAGTAAGGGTTTGATCGCGAAAAACCAGCAGATTCGAGAATCTGCATGACCTCTGATTTGGTGGCGTTCTTGCGGTTGACCGAGTATTCGTCTTTTTTGGCGCCAATTGTCCGGCGCAAGTAGAATTCGGGTTTGCCAGTTTGGAAGCGATCTTCTGTGTTGTCGAAGCAGACTTCGACGTACGCGGACATGACGGCTGAACCAGAACCCTCGTGCAGCAATGCCTGACGCTCTTCACGACCGAGATTGTGGTAGTCATCACCCAGAACGAATCGGACGGCGGCAAAGAAGTTGCTCTTTCCGGAACCATTGCGACCGACGACGACATTGCAGTTGGGCGAGAAGGGCTCGATTTGCATCTGCTCCTTGTAGCTCTTGAAGCCCTGGATGGTGATTTGTTTGATGTAACCCATGGCGGCGGTTGGTTACGGTTACGGCGCGCAGGCGAGGGAGAGTTGCGGTCGCGTGTATTCGTGAGTGCGATCGCGCTGGTACTCTTCAGCACATAGTGATAGTGGGGCTGTGGTGGTGGTGGTAAGTGTGAATGGGGAATCGTCTAACCAATGTTGCGCCGGCGACGCGGTGCGCGTCGCGCTCTCTTGCCAAGACAAGATCGCTCACGCTAGTGCGATTTGGGCTCCAACACGTTGACGAGGGCAACAAGAAATGGCCTTGTTGCAAACTATACATTTGCTTCGGGCTGCGCATCATCTGCAAAGATTCAAGTCATCTTGATTGAGAAGTGAAAAAAAAATCAGGGCCTTGTACCACTAGCGATGAGGTTGATAGTGATTGAACCGGGCGTGTTGAGGCTTGTGCGGTAACTGCAGTGATCTGGTAGCATTTGAGGAAAGAGATTAACAAGTATTGGCTAGGTACTGGATGTTCAAGAATCAGTCAGGTTTTTATGTTTGTGGCGCTCAACCAACTAGTTGATGGCTTTCCGCTACTAATTACCTCCTAACAAGGTCGTATCTGAAGAGGTGATTACGAGCCGCAGCCTAGTAGTCGAAACACCAAGCAACACGGCAGATATCCAATGGATATGCAAGTTTAGAGAGAAGATAGTGCAGCTAGAAGCAGAAACCCTCTTCATTCTTTAACAATAGCTGGTTTCTTGGCACCGTTGCATCCATATATTTTTTACACATGTCAGAGTAGTATCACTGTGGGTATCAGATGGCCTGCCCTGTATCCAAGCAAAATGCCATGCAAGGATTGTCTTACCCCCGTCTTGTAGCGACCCTGACCCCGCACACATCACTTCAAATAGGAGTGATCAGGCTTGGTCGAGCGTCCAATTATGATTGTGGCCACTTGTTGTCAGTGGTGGACTTTTGACGATCACTCTTCAAGGAAGGCCACGCTTATTTATCTTGATCGAAATGTTCCGCTTCCGAGATCAAGGATGTGCTGCAGCGCCATTGGGGACCATAGGCAGACGTAGTTGCGGGTACTATGTGAGTTAAATAAAAAACGCTGGGACAACTTCAACAAGCGTACAGTGGAGAGAGACAGAAAGTGAGTTAGTGCAGTTGTGGCAAGCTGAGTAATACACTGCTTAGGCATGTTTGGAGTAGAATAGAGTGGAGTAGAATATCAGGGCGGTGGGGAAAGTGTGAGTGACGGAGCTACCTCGGAGGTATTTCGAGGATGCTGGTTCGGTGCAAGGAGCAACGGCCTAGGACTTTCTTTTCCTAGCATAGCTTCACAATGGGATCTGATCTGGCTGGCTACGGCGTGGCGCGACTGTCTCGTGGTTCCTGATTGTAGGAGTATCGAAATCACCCAAAGGATGCGTGTATGTAGATACATGACGCCTATATCAGAGGACGTGCAGGTCGGGTAAAGGCCCGCAACGCGGCTTACATGTAGGCAGATGTGACCTTGTGCTACCCTTTGTCCAATTTACTTGGGAAAAGTTCGTAGGCTGGAGCATTGGGATGCCCAGATGTGAGTGGGGTTGCCGTTTTTTCTTTCCCGCGTGCAATGCGCGGTGATGCAACGTGGACAGGGAGTAGGCGGTAAGCACGCGAGGGCAGCGATCGGATTTGCAAGCACAAAATGGGATTTCGCCCACTTTCCCATGTTGGCGGCGCAACTTTTCGATCAGCCCCTCCCGATCCCGCCACCTGGCCGACGATGGGACTTCGACCTCGGCTGTCAATTGGCACAGCCTACAGCCCTAGCACATGGGCGTGGCCGGTCGCTCGCAAGCGCAGTATTGTGTGAATGCACTTATCAAGGACACGGATTGCGACCGGCATTCCGCTTAATGTCGGTGTTGGCGTCATGCGCCTTTTTCTCGTGCAGCAAAAGTATGGCTTTTTTTTCAGTGCCGGCGGCGGCGCGCAGTTTGTCTAGACTGATGATGCGAAGCGAAGGGGTAGGCGAGTGCGTTGAAAGTCGAGCATTGGCGTAGCAGGGTGGTATATTTCAAGGGCTAAACACATGCGCAATGGGAGCACCAGACATGTTAGGCGTAGCAGGCACTTGGTGTTACAGTAGGCATGGGTGAGGATGAGGGGGTGTGTGTGTGGAGTAGAGGTAGCGTGGAGCCCCCCTCTCTCTAATGGACCATGTGCGTGCCGTGTCTTCACCCGTTGTACTCTAGTTGGCCTGCCGCGAGGACAAGTGAGATTGATGGCGCCAAATCTTGGGCAGAGACGCGTGGTGAGCAGGACGCGGACACGGGCAGTAGTGGTGAGGAATTGATAGGCCCAGAGCGATGGCAGCATAGCCGGGCAGCATTGGCCCATTGTGCAGGGCAGAGGGTGCGCTGCTCTGGCCTCGACCGCACTGAGCAAGGCAGGTGTGTGCGTGCGGTAACTCCGCGGAACCTGGGGGAGGGGAGAAGGGGGCCACCGTGTGTGGTGATGAAAAAGGGGGGGGTGCATTGTTGTAGAGTAAATAGCTGTCTACTGCATGGATGTGGGTGAGTGAGTGAGTGTGGGTGTGTACATATGCCGTGTACACACACGTACACGGGCAGACGTTAATGGCACTCTGGTTCAGTGAATGTCCTGTGGCTTGTCACCACATCCTTACATAATACAGAGGCGCGCGGCGCTGAGAGGAAGGGGTTCCGGGGGCAGGCGCAAGTCGCAGGTGGCAGGGCAGTCGCACATGTCGAAACAGGGCGTGGCGACAGGCAATCGCGATTGCCCTCAGCATCGTCGATCGTGCTCTCCCGCTACGTCATCCGCCGCACAGACACCCAATCATGCCCTGGCCCCGTGCAAACAGCACCAAATTCCCCTGCTATCGCTTTCGCAAGTTCCGCATGTTGCCAAACCCCCCAATTGTCCAATTCCCATATCAGTCCGTCTCCCCGGCTCCGTTGCCTTCTGGCTGTACCCTTTGTCTACTCCCTGCTTCGCTTCTCGACATCGGCTTGCCCCTCCGACTCCCCCACGGCCTACCCTGCCGACATCATCGCCACGGCCTTTCCTTCCGAACCCACCGTTGCCTGCTCCTTCCATAATCAGCACGTATAACTACCTGTCTTCCCATCAGCCTACCCTTCCAAACAACTCAACTCAACTCAACTCAACCTGCCCCACCCACAGCCCTCTACTCCACAATACTGCTGCCCTTCACACACAAACACATACACTCTACACAACGGCAATTGCCCTTCGCCATGACGGAGATTCAGCAGCAGCCCCATCTTGACTGGGCTGGTGATGCCTTCACTGCCCTTCATCCACCAGGCATGAGCAATCAACACCACGACAAGTGGTCCACGGCCTTCAGCAACACTGCCACAATGTCTTCACAAGCCTTCTCCATTCCTCCTTCCCTCCTCACTCACGCTGCCCTGGAGCGATACGGCCAAGTCACTCCACCCGAGAAATTCTCTCCCACTCACCCTCTTCGCAATGACCGCGAAAGTTCCATCCCTGTCGAGCAGCTTCGCAATGAGACGACACCTTGGCCCAAAAAGGAACACACCTCACTGCAAATGACCCCGCCCGAAGAGCCTTTGCCAAAGCGACGCCGCACTAGCAGGCAGACGCTTACCAATCAGGATGCTGCAATGCTGCCAAGTGCACCTGTACCACCTCAGCAAGAAACCGTTGAAGCCAACCCGCAGCCACCCAAGCGCAAGCGGGGTAGGCCCAAATCTCAGCCCCAGATGGTCGAGGCCTACACCGCCGACGGCTATCCCTTTCAAGTCTCATCGGCCCGCCAGAACCATCTCGAAAAGAACCGCGTCGCCGCACACAAGTGCAGGCAGCGCAAAAAGGAGTACATCAACAGCCTCGAAGGCCGAGCCCGAGAATTCTCCGCAAAGAACAAGATGCTCAAGGAAAACGTTGCCTTGCTCCGCGAAGAAGTCCTCAGCCTCAAGAACGAAGTCTTACGTCACGCTGGCTGTGGCTTCTGGGCCGTTGACGAATATCTCGCACGATGTGCTGGTGGCCTTCTTGGTATGGAAGTTCCTGCGTCAGAGATGCGCCACTCAATATCACGTCGCAAGAGCCCCCACCAAAGCCCCGCTATACCCGTCTCACACCTCACCGGCCAACATGCCCGCGAGCACAGTATGGTCTCGATGACTTCAGCAGATACCGACGATCTCGGTGGACTCGAGCTCCTCAAGGACTTTACCGACGAGGACATGGATGATATAGGAATGTAGAAAGTCGGCCCAGTTGCCCTTGCTATCAAGACCCTTCTACATCTGGCGCATACCGTTGCGTCCGCTTTGGACTCGCTTTCTGGTACGCGAGCACGTCAGCGATTGTCGCCACTTCTACTTCTCTTTCCACAATTCTTACGATACCCTGGGTTTTTGCCGTGCTTTTGAGCAATGAAAAAAAGCTGTATTATTTTCTTGACTTTGTTAATCCCTTCTACATATGCCCGCATGATGGGCCACGGTTGGAGACTCCGGCGGCAGCACTACCACCACTACCGATGACTGATGAACTGCGAAAAGGCGTTTGACTAATGCATGTCGGACTGTATGATTAGCATACATACATATAACCAAATCAAAAAGAGCTATTGATGGCGATCATTGCTCTTTTTCTTTAGATAGTCACAATGGCATATATGCTACATGCACATGTACACACAAACACATACATACACTCACATGGACGTTTCTCTCTGAACTGTCCACAGAACTGAGCTCCTCGGAAATTTCCGTCCCAAATGGACCCTTTACCCGTACCCAATGCCCACAACTTGCGTCAATGCCAAAAGCAAACAGCTAAGCCCCTAGTCCCCGCTTTGTCGCACAGCAACAGCAGCAGCACCACCAAACTTGCAAGCATGTGCATGTGCATGCAATAACCTTAATTTTTCATCGTGTTGTCCCCACATATTTTTTTCCCGTTTGCCTGCCACCATGCCGCCCCCTCCCTCCCCCCTTGTTCGACCCTTTTTCGGGCTTTTTTTTTTGCAAGGTAAGATGACGCAACAATGCGTGTTTTCCATTCGTCAACGGAGAACTCGTCCGTAGAACAGTGAGAGAGAGAGAGGGGGGGAGTCCCCACCTTCTTGGTTATCTTTTATATATGAATTACGTAGCCAAACAATGAGAAAAGACCCATGCTGGACTAAATAGGTTTATTATGACAAACTGGGGGATGCTTTATTTTTTGTTCTTTATTTTTGCCTCGACGAGTTGCGGGGGGGAGAGTAGGGCTACCGTATGCAGGAGAGTCCCGATGAGGCAGTCGGTGAGACGTGTACTTTGGTGTGTTGGAGTCGGTAGTTACTTTTTGACCGTCGCTTTGTTCTTCAATGGCAATTGTTTGATCGTGGAATTGAAGCCTTCTTTTTTTCCCGATACTTTTCTTTTTCTCTCTCTCTCTAGGTTTTGACTATAGATTTTGTTCAGTATGTTCCTGCACATTCTTTCTTCGAAAAAATTCAAGATCAAACGACACATACGCGTACACTGTACGCTTACACATGGCTAACCACGTTGACCTTCACACTCTACACGTCTTGCACGTTCATACATCATGACAAAGTGGATACCCACATGCTCAACGGCATTGCGCAAAACGGGGACTAATTACATGCGCACCCGTCTCACAATCGATAGCTCTCGTGTCAATCGATAGTCGGTAATCTGCTAATAGCCGCGGCATGTTCTCCCAATCGCTGGCTAAGGACTCAACTGTGTGATGAATCTCTTTGTTTGTTGGATTCGGGTTTTACTCAGCCAAGGGCGATCAACCGACATGGGTCCCACTGAAAAGGTACACACTGCTTTCTTTCTTCCTCTCTTGTGAACACCCCCCTTGCTCGGATGTGTTCATTATGACCCACTCGGACAGATTCCTCAGGCGAGTAATTCTTTTGCAAGGGAAAAGGGAAAGTGGAGCATGAGAGATGACGTACTTCAGGGACGAGATCGGTGGCTTTGTTACCATGGCGGGTAATGGGCCAGTTCGGCACGCCTGCCCGTCAACCAAATGTGTAGGAACAGAGGCTACGTTGGCAGGTGAGGAGGGGGGTGTGTGTTCCCCAAAGTACGTACATACATACGTAAGGGTGAGCTGAGGGAGTGCATGAGACTGCCACGGCAAGTGCAACGTCAAAGCCCTTGAGTCGTCTTAGTGTTGCTACCTGTGTGTATCAAATCGCATTCCCCACCTTGCGTGACTGACGGCATGTTCTGTACTGTATGCAAGTACCATGGTTCTTGTTCGAGCAATCGCAAAAGCATGTAGGGCGTGCCGAGTTGCGACCAGGGACTTTGCAACGTATCATGGTAGACAGCGGGCGTAGCGTTCCCGTGCAGAAGTGCCCACGGAAGAACCCCAATCTACTCCAACTGATAGTCTTGTAAAGGCCCACTTTTGGAGATGGCTAGCCAAGCCATGCCTGTCATATCTGGGACCACAAGCGCGTGCGTAACAGAGTAGCGGGACCCAACGTCTGGTTCTGGACCACGAAACAGAAGACCGCAAGGCCGCGGGAGCAAGAACAGGAAAGGGAAAAAAGAACGTCGGAGCCGGCAAATCCAAGTAAACGGGCGACGCGTGATAGGCTGCGGAGAACATCGCCTAAGAGCCAACGACGTTTGTCCAAAAGCTGCATCATGGGCATTCCCTCACTTGCATAACGGCCAATTCCAATTCCCCCACTATCCCTTGCTGTCCAACCAGAACCTCCATGTCCGAATCTGATACCGAGTGAACCGCCTTTGCTTATACGCCCACCATGTCACTGGTGTAACCTCTCGGACCGTCTCTTTCTCTTGCTCCAACCGGGGAGGAATCCGGCTGCACGCCTGGAGTAGTAGTGGTTGGGCGGGAGAGCAAGGTGCCACGTACATACACACACACAGCTGCGAAGACCCTGAGGATCACTCGCGAAGCCAAAAGGGAATAAGTGGGGAAGCTGCATGTTATGTAAGCAGCAAAGGTTCAAGCTGCAAGAGAGGAAGGAGAAAGGAGATGGATGGGTTGACGTTAGGTAAGTCAAGTGTGGGCCATCAGCCGATATGACGTCAGTCTGGCCAGACTCTGAGGCGACAAGTAGCAAGCCTCGAGGAAAAGGAAAGAGCGACCCGCAACGGGTGCCACAGACTCTGGCGTTGGAGGTAGGTCTAAGTACATTAGGGCCCGTTTGGTACCGGTGGCTGCAACGGCTCTGCCATGTTCGCAACAAGGAAAGGGAAGGGAGGGAGGGAGGAAGGAGGGGCCGCGGAAACAAGGGGGCACAGAGAGCGGGGGGGTTGGTTATGCTACCACGACTTGGGAAACAGCCTTCGGCTACTTGTGCCGTATCCAATAGCATCAATCTTGCCAGAATGAGAGAGAGAGTGGCGATCATATCGACTTTCTGACAGCCCCCAGGTGTAGGCGTATGCGGGAGATAACGATACGGGGGGTACGGTACCCGCTGATCGCAAAATGACCGCTGTGGCGTTTGCTGCGAAGAGAAAATAGACATATACCGGGCGTAACTTGTAAAGAAGCAGTAATAGTCGGGAGGGGGGTGCTTCCTTCGACGCCTCAAAAGAGACAAAGCGAGAAAGAGATATGCATGCGAAGGAACGCCTCATATCGCGATTCCCTCACATCCCGATCTCCATGCCTGTCACAACGGGCCATGATGCGTTGAGGCAGCCTGGCTGCAAGCACCCCCATTCAAGTAATTCGTCTCGTCGTGTTTGAGTGCATTCTAACAGAACTGACCTCGGTTCCCCCCTCCCCTTCCCTCCCGAAAGGCATTTGTCGGAGCATCGAGTAACACCACCGGGAAGTTCTGAAACTCCCCGTGTAAGTAGCGGATAACATGGGCAAAAAAAGTAAAAATAATTGATCTCCGACATCTATCGGATCTCTTCAGCCACGTGTGGTGACATAGGCCCAATGAGAAAGCTGGGGAGCGCGGTCCGATGGCAGCCATGGGCCCCAACCACTAACATGGCACCGAGATGCATCCCAATCGAGCAAGTTTGGGCAAAAGGTGTTGATGATGGTGGGGATTTTAACCGGTGCTGCGACAAAACAACTGGCTGATGGCCTTCACTCATCGACATCGTGTCTTTGCTCACCAACGAGGGGTGGGGTGCGTGCTTGGTATGAGGCAACACAGCCCAACAACAACCCATCTTTCATCTTTCATACTGTACAATTCAAAGTTTTGTTCATCTCAATGTTTCTTGTAGAAGACGCCCAAAAAAAAGGTCCCGTTCATCCAGAAAGAGGCGTCTTGAAGACGAGTGCGACATGGTCATCACCAGCTGTGACAACCGCCTCGCCGTCTCCTTGAACAAAAGCCATTATACCACCCCCCTCACCTCCACCCCTGTGTCCCCTCCATTCGCCCACCAGACCCTTGCCAGCCGCGGCAGTTCCACCCCGTGTATCCCAGCGCCTCAAAACACCATCGTATCCCGCGCTCGTCAACAACCATCCTCCCGGTCCTTCCTTTGCAACAAACTCCAGCTTGACAACGGCTTGCGGCGACTCTTCGTCTGCATGCGCATCTTCTATCCGCCTTCGAACCGCAAAGCGATGTGCGGTATCAAAGAGAGTAATGGAGCCGTCCACGTTACCGGCAGCCATGAGCGTAAGTGGTGCCGTAGAGAAGCTCAGACACTCAACGTTGTCACTTCCTGCCTGCAAACTAGCCAGGATTTGTCCAGCCTGACCTGCTGATGATGCGCCTCCTTTGGCCCCGGCTTGCTTGCCACCTCCAGCTTTGTTCTTTGCGCCTCCTCCACCAGATGATGTTGATGCTTGTGCCGCTCCAGCGAGAGAAAGACGGGGCAGACCAACGATGCGAATCTGACCTTCAGGACCACCAACAGCTACGAATGCACCTGAGGGCGCGATGCCAACAGAGTAGAGACCGCCCTCGACGCGGAAGCGCTCGTCGTTGCCTGTGAGACCGACAACGGCTTGCGAGTCGGTTGTCGCAGTCAGACCTTGTGACGCTGCATCGCCAAACACGTCCCACACATATAGACTCGAGTCTTCAGAGATGGTCGCAAGAAATGAGCCATCAGGCGACCATGCACCGGCTGTGCACGACTCGGTGTGAAGGTAATACGCTTGCAGGACCTGTAGCTCGTTGCCCTTGTCTGTGCTGATCTGGTACACCCACACTGAACCATCGTTGGCTCCAAGCGCGACCACGTTGGGGTGGTCGGGCGAAGGGTTTGAGACGAGCCAGTTGATTTCCTCCACCTCTTGTGCTTCGGCCAGGAACTTCCATTTCTTGCCGTCAGGCACTCCCTGCCACGCGCGCAGCTTGCCATCTAGACCTGCAGTAGCCACAAACTGGCCTTTGGGCGCAGTAAAGGCGATAGCATTGACTGAGTCTGTGTGTCCGTCTAGTGTGAATATGCTCTTTAGTCCTTCGCGCTCGGTGGGTTGGCCGTCGCTGCTCGGTTGCGCTGCCGCTGCTGCCGACACATCAATGATGTAGCCTACATCGTCGCCGCCTCCTGTGGCGATGATATCGCGGTTTACGGGGTGCTGCGCTATGCAGAAGATGCTGTCCTTGTGCTGATCAAAATGCGCAATCGAGTCGTTCTGTAGATTGATTTCCATCTCGGCCTCCTGGCGTCCTCCCTCGTCATCGTCGTCCGAGTCCATGGGTACATCGCCATCATCTTCCAGAATCTCTTCTGCCTCATCGGCGTCTATCGTATTGTCCACACCATGTACGTCGATATCCTCCTCGTCGTGCTGGGGCTGATTTGAAGTGGGGTTGGGGACAGCCATTGCGTAGACTTTTTTTTGCTTCCACTCGGTGGGGTGTGGAGTATATCTTGTTGGCGTCTCTCTGTACCCAAGAAGATTATATATGAGTCTTCGTCTTGCGCTGCTTAGAAATGTCAAAATTGCGCCTTTGGCGGCGAACTTTTTTGTCGGGGACCCTGTCGGAGGGGCACAACGCCGACCCCACACACGTCATTTGTAATCCACACTGAGGCTGAGCCGGACATTGAAACCATTACTGTTTTAATACCGCGTATAACACTACCATCACATCATTATAAATCCACACTTTCTTATACGAATCAACGACATACGGGTACAGACAAAGCCATAGACTTGAAACATTCTCATCAACTACCAAGTCTATTCGACACCACATGAGGATGAAAACGGACCTTCTCTCCAGATTGTACCAAAGTTACTCTTTACTACCTTTTGCAAGTTTCTCCAGAATTTGAACCACACGTTCATCAACTTTAGCAGACTCTTTGCGGAGTCTAGCTGCTTCTTGGAGGACTCGCGCAAGCTCTCTTTGAACAGACACACCCTCAGTGCCATTGCTTGCATCTGTTTGTTCTTGAGATGATTCTCCAAGTGGTGCTGCTGATGTGCTTGCCCTTCCAGTATTATCCGATGGTACTTCTTGGGAAGAAATATGCTGAGCGATAGAAGGCTTCCCGCCACCCCTTGCACTTTCCTCGTCTTTCTCGCGTATCCCAAAGAAAGATCGAAGAGGATCTTTCTCTCCTAGCAACTCCGCTTCGCTGACGTAGCTCTGGTCAGCTACAATCACGTTAGATATTGCGTAGATCCAGTAGCATACCACCAAGCTAACCATGAACGTAATAAATACTGCTCGACTACTTGATGCCCCTGCAATCTTGTTCAGATCCCATGTCCAAACGAAGCCAAGGTAGATGCCGAGTCCCACCAGGAAAGCGTTAAGAGAACTGTTGAGAAGCATAGTGGGGGCTGCAATGGTCAAAACTGAGGCAACCGAAGGCAGATCTGCTCCCACTACTCGAAAAGCTGAGTCGCTGTTAAGATGAGCAACTGCCATTGCCATGCGTGGGTACAGATCCTCATTCAAAATACTGTGCCCACGAATCCATGCCCGTACATCCTTGGCATAGAGGAATCTGCCCAGATGACAGTACTGTCTTGTGGCGTAGTAAACAGCGATAATTGACGAGACGAGGCTGAAAACAAATAACCCTCGGGCAACCCAGGGTGTTCGGTCAAGGTTTTCCAAAGAGAGTGCTGTGATAGCAATTTGTGCTAGAATAGTGCTCTAAAAGTCTAGCAGTCAGTTCCTGATGTCTAGCTACCCGAGACTAGACACATGTACGCACAGCCACAGCTATTATGCTGCATTCCTTCTGCGCTGACTTTCGGAAGTTCATGGCGTCTATGTCGCTCGTACTTCGTAACACCTGTACTTGAATGCGCCAAATGTCGCGGTTTCCGAAGAAGCATAACCTAATCCACTAAGTCCATAGTATTTTGTGAAGAAAACGATACTCGACAAGTACCGAAGCCATTGTCGTGCTGCCGAAAGGAAGATTACAGCTCCTGGACCAACACCAACGACAAGTGCTGCTTTCTCCATGTTGTCGGAAACAAAGCAGCAGACTCTTTTAAGACAAGGATGGTTTACTTCATTGGAGATATCATCGAGAGAGAGGCAATCAGAAAAACTACTTGATGGCTAAATTCAAGGAAGGCTGAGGCTGAGGCCGAATGTCTGCCTTGGATGGTCTGTGCGTTTTTTGGGATGCGTACGCACGTAAGTAGAAGGCGCAGGCCGGCTGCACTGGGACTTTTGCCGACCGTGGAGTACATCGCTTCATACGTAGTGTAGATGAAAGGACAGTAAACACATGGATCAAACTAAAATAAAAAAATTGAGTAAGTTGAACGTGCGATAGGGACCGAGAGCTACTAGTATAAGACACGAAGCCATCACCTAGGCGCAATACGCAAAGCAACAAAAGGTCATATGTAAAAAAAGACATACACTGGTCTTCAGCCTGAGCATTAGAAGCACGGATCTGGCTTCGTAGAAACACCCTAAGATAAACGTAGAGTACTTCTCCATACTGCCCTAGTTTATACATTCTGTGGTAACGGCATGCCAAAGCCACACATAGTAAGCTCACTAGGTTGAGTACTCAAATGCTAGACAAGACGCATCACTTAAAAGAGACTAGACTGAGCATGACCGTAACCCAACCATCACTCCAATACAACCATCCATTCTAGCCCCAGCCAAGCTTAACCTCTTTTCTACGAGAGGAACTCCTACCTAGATACCCTTATGCAGCACCTTAATTTCCAAACATTCTTGAAACAGGTATTGATACAACCTTAGAACCTGGTTCCTCCTATGACACAGCTTGTTAGCCTTTGTATCTTTGCAACACTACTAACGTGACCCCGCGGCTAGTCAAGGAAAAAAAAGGAGATTCCTGATATTCATAAAATAACTGGGGATCACAAAGTGTAGGGGAGGTCTTTTTTTTTGGGAAAGTTGATAATATTTATATTCTCCCTGCAAAAGAAAAAGAAAACGGTACTATATCTGATTGCAACTTGTAGCAAAGGGTTTCGATTTACGTCTTAGCTCAGTATATACACCTTACCCCAACCTCTTCACTTCCGTCAATACATTTTCTACATTGCAGATAACATGAAGACACCCCTATATGTACCCCCATCCACTGCCTAACCCACAGCACTCCTCCTTACTTACGAGGCCCCGATTCCTTTGCCTACAGGACAATTAGGCACATCCTTCTGCCACGCAATCTTCGCGTACACAGGCAGATAGCTATTCGTCGTGAAAGTCTCATCGATATAATACTCGACTTGATCCAACGAGAAGTTGCCACCGACTTGCGGCTCATTGAGAGCATTAACAATGTAATCAGCGATGAAATCCAGGAAGATGAGATCGACGCTGTTTGGCATGGAGCCGTCGAGCGGGAACGAGGCGTTGGCTTGGAGATCGTTGGGCTGAGTGTAGTTGGGGATGGGCGAGTGCATGGTGTCGTCTCCGTCGGTGCCGAAATCGTCGTTGGTGGTGTATCCGGGCGTGGGAGAAGTGGATTGGCGGCGGATTAGCCGACCGCCTTGCTTGGAGCGGCGGGTTCGTCCCTCATAGTTGTGGGTGAGGGGCGGGTCGATGCATGTATCGCGGTCTGCAAGGACGGGACTGAAAGCGAAATCGGATGTCTCAAGGTTTCGCTTCTTCTTCTGAAAGGGACCTGCGTTGAGGATGTCGATGACCTGCGATGCCTGTTTGTAGGGCACATTCGGAATGTATTGGAAAGCATCTTTGAATGGGGAAACAATAAAGGAGTCGTCGTACGTGAAAGGGCCTTGGGCGAGATCGAAGCGGACGCTACCGGTATTGATTATGATAAGTCGAGGGATATCTTTTCGCGTCTCGTTCACGACAGCCGTAGCTAGCGCCGTTTGGAGAAGCTTGAAGATGTTGCCTTCAGCCAAAAATGGTTTACAGTACTGGCAGTATGTTTCTGGTGCACAACCGTAAAGATTCGTCAAGTTGAGCTTAGTCCGAGCGGAAGTAATTTCTGATGAGACTTTTAGGCCTTTAGGGGTGCTGAAGGATGTGTACGGCTGGCTTCCCTCGGCATGGTATGCAAAAGTGTTGCGATTCCAATCAAGGTACCTCCGTGCATAGCGAACTGGGGTGTTGAAAGTAGACTTGTCAATGGTGACCTGTGATGATGCAACACGGGATGGGTTTGGTACACCTTTGGGGTTGTTCGGTGCTTTGCAACTGGAACACTTGATACCAGACATTGCCAGCCACCCGAGAGTCTCGCAGTAACGACCTAGAAATATTGTTAGGCAAAATTTAACCAATAAATACAGGTGCAAATTACCAGACTCAAGACCAGTAGCCTTTGCATCATAAACTACGAAGTCTCGAATGTGCGTATGGCCTCCGAAAAACTGAATTGGGACATCCTTCTTGATACTTCGAATGGCCTTGAACACAGTTCCCATTGTGCTACTGGAGACATTCGTCCGCACAGGGTTGTGGCCAGCAACCACAAACAAGTCAATTGGCTTGCTGAAGTTAACAGCTTGCTGAAACCATTTCTCTTTGACCATATCCGCAGCTTTAATGACCTTGGAAACGTTGCTGTGACCAGTAAAGTCAAACAGTACACCAAAAGCCATGATTCGAAGACCTGCAAACAGTCAGTGTATTCCTCGAAGTCGTCCTTTTTGACATACCCTGCTCAGTAGTGAAATAACGATATTGAGCCCCGATGTACTCAAACTGACTGGTGGCTGGGTTGATGATTTGAACATTGCTAGTAATATACCTGTCACCATATGCTTTGGCAAAGCCGCTAAAAGTCTCATAGGCAATCTCGGTGACATATAGCTCATGATTGCCGATAGTCAATATATCATAGTCGACATTTTCAAAGATCACATTCGAGACCCTGCCGTTGGGCGTCGTCGCATCGCTAAGCCCAGCACCGTCGTGTAAGTCCTACTACAACGTTAGCAAGGTCACATTTTCTCCACATACGTGCAGCCCTACTCGTCCCCAAGGCTCTAATGGTAGATACTAACCCCTGTGTCAACTAGAAGCAGATCAACGCCAAGTTTGCGAGCTTTCTGCCTCATGTGTTTTGTGAAGCTGACATAGTCGCCCCAGTCGGCGCCGTAGTTTTGCTCCTTGATATGCCCCTCAAGCCAGCCATGGGTGTCGGTGGTATGTAGAAAGTTGATCTGACCCCATTCTAGAGGGCCTTTTGGAGTTGTAGTCGCGTTTTGTGCGTCGGGTTGCATTCGGCGGACATTCCTGGTCAGAACAACATCATCTTTTAGCGCCCCGTAGCAACTGTGGTCACCCTCACAAGCCGAAGCTGAGGCGATGAGTGCTACAATTGCACTATATGTAAGGTATCGCATCTTCAGAGGCACTTAGGATACCAGTATCGCATGTTAGGTAGCAAGGACGGCCTATTATACATACGTTCCGGGAGGGGATGGAAGCGTATGCACACTGAGCCAGTGGCGCGCCGTGTTCCGTGCGGAATGGAGGGACAGCATCAGACTGCACATGTAGCTATTATTGGTGAAGGAGATAAGCTTTCGACAAGTCCTTGATGCCGAGGACCAAAAAAGCTTAAACCCAGACATTCTCCTTCCTGATAGGTGACAAGCGCGTTGATTAGCGTTCCGTGAATCGGTCTTTCTCTTGCGCCTCTCCGATTGATGCCCGGAGCCTTTTCTGCATTGCGGTAGTGCCTTTGCCACTACCCAGGATTTCTCCTGCCACCATGCATTTGCTGACGCGGAGGCTTTCGATACTTTCCACCAGAATTCCCAATCGAAAGGCGGCGGCGCGTACGAAGTATATAATAACCAAACGCCACATACAACAAGCAGTGTGCCTATGACCCGTGCCGTCCCTCGATGAAGCCAGGCACCGGCCCGCGGACGGACCAAACGATCGAGCAAGTACACAGTACGAACCTTCCTATAAAGCGATTGATCTGATCAATCAGATTATCCCATACATGTGTCTGATTTTCTAGTTTACAACCTAGCTTTGACCTCGTCTCTAACAACAAGACCAAACTTGCCATCCTTTTCCTTGTCGCGCAACACTCTTCTCAAGATCTTGCCTGAAGGACTCTTCGGTATCTCACTAATAAACTCAACCTCCTTAACCCACTTGTATTTGACCTTCTTCTCCTTGACGAAAGCGATGATTTCTTTACCTACTGCCGTACTCTCTTGTACACTGGGCTTGAGTACCACATATGCTTTTGGCAGCTCTCCAGAGTAGTCGTCCTTTATGCTCATTACAGCAACATCCTCGACTTTAGGGTGGCCAAGAAGCAAGTCTTCAAGTTCAGCTGGAGCAACGCCGATACCCTTGACTTTGATGAGTTCTTTGATGCGGTCGGAGATGTAAATCATGCCTTCCTCACTGATAGATCCACGGTCGCCCGTGTGTAAAAAGCCGTCTGCGTCGAATGTTTCCCGGGTAGCTTTTTCGTTGTTGAGGTATCCCATTACTACCTGGGGTCCGCGAGCAAGCACTTCACCATCCTCGCCAACATCTCCCTCCGTACCATCGTCCTTGATGATTTTGACCTCGGTAGAAGCAACTATCGCGCCACCAGAGTGGGCGTACTTGTAATCGTACTTATCAGGCGGATGAGCAGTAATGCAAGAGCAAGATTCAGTCATTCCATAGCCTTGCTTAAAGCCCGTATGCGGGAATTTCCTCTGCAGCTGGTGGATGATTTCTTCAGAAAGTGGAGCGGCGCCGGAAGAAAAGCGAACAACGTGGCTGAGATCGTACTTGTCTACTATTGGGTCGCGGACTAGCCGGATGATGATTGGAGGTACCAGTAGAAGCTCCTTCAACTGGTATTCGACGATGACGTCTAGCATCTTCTCCATTGAAAACTGCGGAAGCATGACAACTTCCGCGTTGATGAGAATTGGTAAGTGCATCTGGTGAACCAAGCCTGTAATGTGGAAGAGCGGAAGTACAGCCATGACCTTCTTCTGCGTTTCCGGTGTCAACTGCTGCACTTGCAGACACTGTGCTATAACGTTTTGGTGACTGATCATGACGGCTTTCGGCAATCCAGTTGTTCCAGATGAGAAGGAAAGAAAGCCACAAACATCCTTATTTTTCTTTCCAGGAGGGATTTTAAAAGCAGCTGTCTGTCCAGACTCGCCATGTGATTTTCCCATGCGGATCAGATCTTGGACCGTAGTGTAACCAGGTAGCTCGTCCTCGAGCACGAAGATGTTTGATTGAGGTATTCCTGCAGCTTTTGCGCTCGCAGCTGCGATTTCCATACTTCCTGGTGTAGTCATCAAGAATTTTGCATCCGCCGTCTTGAGTGCAAACGTCATCTCCTCAACGTTGTAGGCCGGGCTTGCGCCGCTGATCTTCGCACCCACACGGAGCCCAGCAAACATTGCTACTGGATACCATACTGTATTCTGGCCAAAAAGAGCCACCGTATCGCCTTCTTTGAGATTGTACTCCTTGACTAAAGCTGTAGAAATGTATGTAGAGTACTTCTTTACATCAGCCCAGTTCACACGTTCTTTCGTGATGGCGTTTTGGAAGCCTGCAAGCTCGCTTGACGGATAATTGTTGACTGGGGAGTAAGGCGAATCAAAGAGCCAATCCCAGTCCGTCAAGTCGGTAGGCACTACATTTGTTACTAAATGCGTAGTTTTCAAACACATGCGTACCCGGGGACAACGTACGATCGATAGGTGGTTGTTTTGACTTGAAGATCACCATCTTGATCTATTCAATGCCTTGAAATTCCAAGGAGACAAATATTGGTCAAACCAATATCTATGAAGCCAAAGTAGAAGTGATGCAGGCGGACAATGAATGGTGCAAAGCAGTGAGTGGAATTGAGGAACAAGGATTCGTGGAGCGGAAGAAATCATGGGAGCTAGCAGGCAGATGGGGATTTCTATCCTCGGTACATCTATCCCCATCGGATATGCAACTCTCAATACGATGGCGGAGCGGGGACAAGGCCTCTGTAAGGCGGGGTTGCATACACTACCCGAGTCATCTAAAAGCGGTCAAGATCGCCGACCCCCACTGATATCTTCCCAGATAACACCTAACTACACACGCAGGGGTACATACGTATGAATTACTTCACTGCCACCCAATGAGCTTTTTTGGGGTTGTTTCATTGTGTTTTTGCAAAGGATACACTGTGTTAACTTCATCCATTGAAGCTATTCCACTGCGATCAAAAAGCCCCCACATCCCAGTACTACTATAATCATCAACCACACCAAAACATGTCCTCGGAGCCAGAAGCACCCGAGCTCGACCCCGTCCTAAGAGTACACTCAAACAAAGACCTCCGCATAACCCTCATTGGCGCCGGAACAATCGGCCTCTCATTTGCCGCATACCACCTCACCCACCTCCTCAGCCCCTCCCAACTAACAATCTACGACACACGACCAGACCTCGACCAACACATTGACCAAAACCTGAGCGAGCTCTTCGCCGATTCCCCGGCAAAAGCAGCAATAGACAACATTCGCGTCGCGACCTCGCTCGCCGACGCTGTCTCTGAAGCGCACATCATCCAAGAATCCGGACCGGAGAACCTCGCTTTCAAGCGACAGCTTTGGGCGCAAGTAGAGCAGCATGCGCCGGAGCACTGTTTGCTATGGAGTAGTACGTCTGGGATTCCGGCGTCGGCGCAGGTACAGGATATGAAGGATAAGTCGAGGTTGTTGGTGGTGCATCCGTATAATCCGCCGCATGTAATGCCGTTGCTGGAACTAGTTGCGTCGCCGCAGACGTCCGAAGACGTTGTTAAGAGGACGCAGCAGTTTTGGGTGGATCGGGGGAGAGTCCCGGTGCATATTAAGAAAGAGACGACGGGGTTTGTTGCGAATAGATTGGCGTTTGCGCTGCTACGTGAAGCTGTGCATTTAGTGAATGAGAATGTGGTTTCGGTCGAGGAGCTGGATAGTATTGTGGAGAGTAGTATGGGTCCGCGGTGGGCGGTTGCGGGGCCTTTCAAGAGTTATCATGCTGGAGGTGGGCCGGCGGGGTTAGAGGGTTTCTTTAAGAATATTGGGGGAACGGTGCAAGCTTGCTGGGACGATTCAGGGAAGCCGAATGTTGGTGATGGGTGGGAGGAGAAGATCTTCAGGCAAACACAGGAGGTTTACGGTCAAGTCGATGTTAGCGAGCGAGACAGAATAACAAGAAGGGTGTTAGAAGTGCTGAAAGAAGAGAAGAATCGAAGCGTTTGAAATCATGGGAACTAGTGAATGAATTTCCTCGTCTAGATATCGTTTCACACCACCAAGACCTCCACAACCTAAGCGCCAAAAACCAGTTGTATCGCTTACATGATAAGGTACATACCCGTAATCAAACTAGGCCCGATAAAAATACCAAACCAAAATATAACGTTACCCAGCGTATCTCTTCCCTTCATGAACCTACTCTTGCAAAACGCTGCCTGGGGTATCTGTGTAAGTTGGAATGCAAAGAGATATCCCCTGACCTTCTTAAAGAGACAAAACATGACGATCTCGTGGACGACGGCGCTCAGAAAAAAGGTAAAGAAGGTAGCCTGCATCCTCGACATATGGAAGAAGGAAATTGAAGAATGGTAGACGTGTCGAAGTAAGAAGTTGTGAACAGGCCTATTCCAGTCCCGAGCATATTGCTCAAAGGATACGGAATTCCACCATGGACCATAGAAGCCCCGATCGGCAAATCGCGTGAGCTCCGCTAGTACGTTCAGGAGACATTCCCATATGACGTAAAAACTCAGAAGTGATTCGAGGAGCATGGGGAATAACATATCGGAGACTGATGGAGATGGCGTTAGCATATAATATCAAGTACGAAGTAAAGGTTGCTTACCAATCCATGGAAATTCTTGCCATCCCTGATACAGTGACATGCCAGCTTCCTTTCGTCGTACAGTTTTTACGACTACAGGGTAGATGTACGCTTGCGAGATGATGATCATGACCCAAATGCCACCTAGTGTAGCTGCCGACTTCTCGGCAACGTACCACCAGTTGATACGATCCTGGCGGGGATACTCCAAGTCGTAGATGAGCGTGGGGAAACATGACCATTCTAAGAAGTTGTAGAGATTGAGGTTGTTGGGGTAAATGTTGTCCGTCGTTGTGCATTTTCCACGTAGATCCTCATTAAGGATTGTAATCTCAGTATTCAATACGCGGCGGAACCCCTCGATCTGTTCCGAGTCGAGCGGCTTTCCAGAGTCAATAGCTTGACCAATACTTGCAATTTCCAAATCTTCTTCAGATAATCGCGGGGAGTATTTGCGCCCTCGGTTGATCAGATTGCTTTCATTGGGGGTTCCAACGTTGGTAGCAGCTGGCGTCTCTGGCAGGTGCGTCGTTTCAGTCGAGCTTTCTTCCGATTTCATAGCATCCAGCTCTCTGAGCATATCCTGCAAAATGTTCCGTCGTCTATAAACTCGCGATACTGCTCATAATTAGCTCGACCCTCGGTATTACAGGAAGGAGGCTTACAATAGCCGTTGTAGAAGGCATAGGCATGCTGCTTCATCAACAGCACAAAGACATGCAGAACAATGAAGACGGTATGGGTCCAAGGCCACTCACGCCAGAAGGTAATCCAAATGAAAGTAAAGGTAAAGAAGGCTTGCCACAGCGACTGGATAATCCACCCTGAACCATTCCACGTCAAGTAGTCTTTTGCAATGGCTTTCTGTAGGAAGAAGCCAAAGATGGTCGTTGCGCACATTCCGAGATCTGTTGCCAACATGACGAAAAGGTCTTTGTCGACCATCAGATGCAGGATCTCTGCATCTCCAAAGATTGAGCCTTTAGTTCTGTAGTTTCCGGCTGCAATCCGTATAAGTAAAAAGGCCATGGCAAGCCAGAAAAGAGTGAAGAACCCATGAAAGGGCGACTGTGATGCCGTTGCGTTTTGGCGATCGAACGTTGTAAATTGCTGGGTGAAGATAAGATCTCTTGGCCGACCTTTGGTCTTATGGTTCAGCTTCTCAGCCTCTCGCCGGAGCCCAGTCTGTAAAGCTTCTTGGAACTCCGGGTCCTTGGCGGTGATTTTATACTCGCCTTTCTTTCCAGATTTCTCTAGTACGACTTCGATGCTCTTTCGGCGATTGCGTTGCCTCTCCTCCACATGAGTTTCCGAGCCGCTTTCATCCGAAGGTATAGCGGTCGTGCTACGGCTTCGAGACTCTATCCCATGGTATTCATTTTGCTTTTTTGATCTGAGCACACCATCGACATCCAAGGCACTAGATGAAGTATTTGGATTCCACGAATCTTCGCGGTTGATGGGTGGTCGGGTTGATAGGCCTCGGAGTGCGTGCGACATTGCTGATGCCCCGTTCGTCAGAGATGTGAGATCAGTCTTATCGCTTGTCAAACCAGGTGTGTGACTGCTCTCCATCGCTCACCAGGCTGTTGGAAAGAAACGTGATGGATTCACCAAAGTGGGCGTGTTGAAGTGTTGTGTTTAGGTATAGGTTGCTGGCCGCTGAAAGAGAACGGTACTGTGGGTACATGTTTCCTTGGGACGGGACTGTCGGAACGGGTGCTTCGCAAGCTCGGTCCAGATGAGGCAGTCAAGTCAGACGGCACTGGGATCCAGTAAGCACACAAAAGTATATATCGCAGTAGCTGTCCGGACGTACCGAAGCATATAGTACACGGTCGTGTCCAGATGGTGCTTCACCCAAAATGGACATGATGTCATGCCGCGCCTTGTAGTAGAGCAGTACTAGCCGTGCATGCGCATCGGTTCCTGCAGCAAGCCAAATCACGTGTTCTACCACAAACTAATCCAACACTAGGCTGAAGCGTGACCTTCTACATGCATACTCGAGTCACTCGGTATTTCGATTTTCAGACAATCCTGTCCCATCTTTAATGGCTGCTGACCACGACACAGCCCCCCCGCACAGCCTCGTTTTGCTGTCGACCGGAGCCGAGTACATATGGCGTCCTGGGCATTCTGAACTCCAACATCCAACACATCAACTCTCCTGCTTGACTGCACAGTCAATAGAACTTCAACAACCCATTCTCTCACATTAGAACGCATTAGTACAACATTACTTACACGTCTAGTGAATGCAGCGATGCCATAGGAAGGCGTCCCCTAGTCTCGCTGCTGGTACTGTTGGCGCCGCGACACCTCGCTTCTACCATCGAACACCTGTTTAATAAGGCGACCAACATGAATCCTATTTCCATCCCTTGGCACGCCGTTACCCACTCATGATTCGTTCGAGCAGGTAGAGATACGAAGTGGCTGCCGGAATGCCGTCAAGCCGCAGCAGTGCAGTGTCGCAGCGTCACAACGCAGCAGCGCATACCAGCCACAACATAGATCAGACGGCAAGTCTGTTCAATGAAAATTAGTTTATAAAAGAAACCGTCGTGCCACTCTATATAAATTGTATCATCTAGGAGATCAACACTTACTCAACCATTCCCTCTTGCATATCTGGAATCCCATTTATCTTCGGCGGCTCAGTCGTCTTATTTCTCAGACAAAAAAACCTAATACACGCACCGCATAACTTCCTCATGGCACCAAAAAGTAGCAGTCCCAACCTCTCAAAAAGGGTGTTCTGCCCTGACGCATTTCCATACCCCATCACCCAAATCTATCTCAGCTACTACTTCGTCTACATCGCGATCTTCCTCGCAATCTTCATCGCCTCGTTCTTCATCCGCAAAAAGAGCGGTGGCGCAGGGAAATCGTTACTCGGATATGCCTACATACTCACATTGCTCTTCGCAATCGTGTAAGCCACTCCTTTTCACACCTTCCCCCAGTATCATCTTCTACATAAGCGGAAGGCTGATAGACAGATAAATATAGTTCCCTAGTCCTCGACTTCACATCTCTCCTCGTAGCCCAATGCCAGTCTGGAGGTCTCCAGGAAGTCCGCGACTTGTCCCTCGCTTCCAACATCATCGGCATCATCAGCATATGGGGCATGCTATTCCTCGTCGTCTACCAAGTAAATGTCTTACTCCGGAGGCAACTCGGTTCAGCCGTTATGATGTTTAGAATCATCTGTCTGGCAGTGATAGGCGTCATGGGCGCTCTCTACATAGCTTACATCGGTCTATTCAGCTACCTCTGGCTCGAGAGAGAGCGTATGTGGAGAGAAGACCGATATAGGCTTCAGGAATCGTCGCGGCGGCTATCGCTGGCGTTGGTAGGGCTATATTTACTTTGTGTTATCGTGTCGGCGGCACTGGCTACTATGACGCTGTCTGGGCTGCGGAGAGCGCAGATAGCTGCGGGTGTAAGTCATGCTTCCGTTTCCAAAAAAAACCCTCTACCGCGCTTTACTAATGGTGTTGCTCAGGATCTCATCGGCTGGGTCGCTGCCCTCCATATCTTCATGTTCATCTGGTCCGGCCTGTCCATAGTGCTGCAGGCACTAAGCCTTTACTATTCCGAGCACTTTGATCTAAACGCATCGGTAGCCATGTCGTATGTTCTGACTATGTTCCAAGCGCTTAGCTTCGTTGCGCTATTGGGAATCGCAAAGCATACGTGCTGGAAACAGGCCCGTAAGCCTGCCCAGAATGTTTATGCGCCGGTTATCCAGGGGAACACGGCGTATGTGCATTGAGAGCAGGTGTATCGTCAGGAGATGCGCGTGATTGCGCATGCTACTAAGTAAGCGAGATGATCGAGAGGAAGAGTAGAATTAGACTTTTTTCTTTACGCTGTTATGTACAAACTATACCCGGATCATGATTACCATTATTATGGAATACTATTTCTTAATGAAACCGTCTACAGTTCATCATGCACATCTCGTAAGCTACGATACATCAGCCCCATTACGCAAACATGTCCAGTGTCAAACACGTTTTTTCATAAGATCTAGCATAATCGACATGGGCAGCTGTGGCAAAGATTAGATGTAAACGACATAGTGTAGATTCAATATATACTTTTTAGTATACTCCACTAGCATGTACAATGTCATCATTCAAGAAGTTAAACCCCCCTGCAAAATCCTGCACCAAGCCCTTAATCCACCTTGATAGATCTATAGATCTTGAGTGTGAATAGCCAGCTGGCAAAGAAGCCGATCGTACCTATTCGTCAAGTTAGCTTCTGCTTTCCAGATCGGTTGGCAAGATGTACTTACCAGTGAGAATGAATACTAGCGCACTAAGCAAGGCCGAGTATCCAAGGTACACCACACCACTTGTCCAGCTCGTCCAACTAACATCCTTGATCCAGTAGAGCAAGCAACTAGCAAACACATACACAGCGCTCGCACCAGCAGTGAAGAACGACCGCCACTGCCAGTGATAATTCTCCGCGCAGAGCAAAAAGTAAATCATCAAGACGGTGACTGCAGCAGACGTAATAATCATAAGGCCAAAGCAGAGGAAAAGGAAACCAAACATGTAGTAGACTTTTGAGAACCAGATCGAGTTCATGATGAAGTAGAGTTCGACGAAAATGGCGCCAAAGGGGAGTACGCCAGCCAGCGCCATGGATGGAATAGGTTGCAGGTAGCCTCCAGCCGGGGGGATTTGACGGGGGATCTGGTTGGTGCGAACAGGTGGTTCGATAGTAGCTTGCTTAAAGCCAAACCAGGAACCCGCCAGACTGAGTGGGACTGAGATGACAAACCAGATAATGACAACGACTAGCATTGTGGTGAAGGGCACTGCCCCTGATGCTCCGCGACCCCAGACAAACAGGTTCATGAGGAAGAAGACGCTAAAGACGATTGCTGGAAGAGCGACGGGGGTATAGAAGAAGCAGAGTTTCCAGGATTCTCCTTGGAAGAATTTGTAGACGCGCGCAGCGGCGTAGCCGCCGAAAAAACCGAAGAGTGTGTAGAAGATGATAATGACAGTTCCGAGAGCACCACGGTTGCTGGGGGAAAGGAAGCCAAGCAGCGCGAATACTATTATACACGTTAGCAAGAGGCGCTCATATCGAGCGTTGGTGGACTTACCTATGGTCAACGCTGTCATGGCAAAGAGCTGGGCGCCATTGCCTATCAAGACCGAAAGAAGTAGCGGGTTCTTTGGCGGCCTGAATACATCGCCGTGAACCAACTTCCAGCCCGAATCATCAGCAGTATCATCAGCATCTCCTGTCTCGCCAAAGTCTTCGAGTGCAAACTGATCCAAGCGGTTATATCGCGCAATATCCTTCTTTAGAGTACGAACAAGGATCGTGCTGACCATACCAACGAGGAACACAACGATTACAGCCGAGTTGATGAGGGAGAACCAGTGAATCTTGGGGTCGTAAACATGGAGATATTTGTCCCACCGAGTAGCAAAGGGAGTCGGGCTGCTCCTCCAATATACGCCATAAGTAAAAACGACCATGTTCTCGTCGTCGTCTTTGTCCTTCAGAACCACTGGTGTCTGCCCATTGCAGGTAGCCTGATCATCACCCTGTCTCTTCGATTCAGCCATTGAGTATGGGTCGACCAGCACGCCTACTACTCGGAAGTTGCCTGGCGAGGCCTCGTGGTAGTCGATGACGATGTCGTAGTGGTTGTTGAGCATGGGCTTCTCCTCATCCACCAAGCCCAATGCAAAGCCAGGCTGATAGAAGATCTGATCTGAACCGGGTTCTCGCAATGACTGCGCCGCTGGCAATCCGTCTATTAACCAATTGAGATCATAGCCCTGGTATATTCTGTCATTCACGAATGCTGCATCTTTGCCCGGGTACGGAGCCTCGCAAAGTAACTTGCAAGTCTCGTTGACGGCCATCTTCAACTCAAAAGGGCTTGTTTGTATACGGTCGCCGAACAGTATGCTCCCCAGACTCTCGCGGATTTCCTTTGGTCCATCTTTTTCGCGACAAAAGTGGAAGGGCGGGTAGTAGTAGTCAAACGAGAAGACGGATCGTATTTTCGGGTCGTTTTGCGAGTCGGCTGGTGTGAGGCGATTGACGTACAATGGTACGGCGTCTCCAGTCTTGTAGGTTGTTGGCGCGGTGCCTGGAAAGTAAAAAGCCGATGCGGGCGAGGGCGCTATGGCTAGTAATGACGCCAGCAAAGCGCCAGAGGAGGATAGATCAGAGCGCCGCATCTTGTGTGTTTTGCCGTCAACGCAGCAGAGGAGCGCAACAATTTATTGTGAATGTTGTGGAGTGAGCCGATATCCGGCTGAGAAGCTGGGCGGGATGCCGATACGTAGCGTTTACAGTGGTGATGGTGCCGACAGTGGATACGAAAGGAGTAGGGTTACGTGGAGGAATTCTAGATACGTGGGCTGTCCATAACAGCCAGGCGACAGTAATGTAGCGAGGTTGGGAGTAATGGCAATGTGGTGTTTTCCGAAGCTACACAAGCCGTCCCTTGCTAAATGGTTACGTGAGAGCGGCCTAGGGAAGCTACGCGTATGCCAAGACTTGAGCCACCGTTTCAGTAGACAGGGGTCTCGACTGAACTAGACTAGAATACATCCATGTTCGCCTTCACATTATACCCTACACAAGCTTGACAGTCTCAACATGCATGTCTGACAATAGCAAACGCAGGGCGTACAATTGCCAGGGTCTTGGAAATACATTGTTGCATTCTACCCTCAAGCAACCAAATTGTATGAGCTGTTTATACGTACATCAATCATCATGTCCCAGTACGCCGAGGCGAAGTCAACGTTTTCCACCCCTGGCAGCAAGGGCACGATGGCACGCCCGAATCCCGCAAATGCGCTGTGATATCGACTATAACGAAACAAGAATAGGAAACGACCTTGGGTATCAACAACCCTCCTCTTCAAACAAGACCATCGTAGAGAGACAAGGCCGAAACAATGGTCTCGTCACGCTTGGAGCCCTCCTTGAATTCAGCCATGTCTAAGCTACCGTTCTCGTCCTTGTCCATCATCCGGAAGATCTTCTTGACGCGCTTCTCGGGTGTGTCTTCGTCTTCGGGGAGCTTGACCATGGAGCCAACCTGCATGCGTTAGAGACGAGTCTATCCCGGCACCGATGCAAACTTACCATCTTGTAGATGGCCTCTACAATGGCCAGCATCTCCTCGTAGCTTATCTTGCCGTCGCCATCAATATCGTACAGCTGGAACGCCCAATCCAGCTTGTCCTCCATCTTGCCACGGCTGGTGACACTCAGTGCGCAGATGAATTCTTTGAAGTCGATTGTGCCTGACTTGTCTGCATCAAAAACGTTGAAGACATAGTCTGCAAACGATGAAGGATCGCCGAACGGGAAGAATTGCTTGTAGATCTTCTGGAACTCTTCCTTGGTGAGCATACCCGACGGGCAGTCCTTTAGGAAGCCTAGACATGTATACTCAGCCACAAGCCGCTTACTTCAATAAACTCTATGCGCACCTTTGTACCATTGCTGTAGTTCTTTCTTGTCGAAGTGTGTTGCTTTCTGCAGATCGGCCAGCTCCTGCTGGGACAATTTACTCTGGCTGTAGTATCGCACAATCAGCAGCTGATTCTGAATCTCGAGGCACGCTATGTGGCAGCACAGCCCCAGGCCCTCCTCGAACTCGCGCACGGCATTCGCCAAGGCAACTCTCTGCATGTCCAGCCTCGCCCGGGTGAGGTGGGTGAAGGTGATGGCGGCGCGCAAACTTGAGGGGCGGATGACGGTGCCCAAGAAAGGGTATCGCGAGTTCCTGCGAAGGGATTGAAGGCGCAGGCGGTACTCGCGCATGCTTGTCGCTGGGGTTGTAGGTATCGAGTCGCGGTTGGATGCTCGTGCGGGCTGGTGCCAGGAGCGGGGTTGAGGCGCGGATACTTTGAATTTGGTCCAGAAACCATGGCGAGATCGGGAGCAGCGTACAGCCTTGACCTGGAGCAGCGTATGTTCGGGACAGAGGGCAGGAGTCGTCTGACGTCGAGGTGGGAGGCGCCGAGGCCCCGCCTTACAGAAGCAGCAAGGGAAAAGAAAAGCCAAACTTACGATTTACCCATGGCTGGACGAGAGTTGGATTACCGTGAGTGGAGATTTTCTAGGAACGGGCGGGGATATGTATGTAGGGGAGAAGCGGCTAGGCAGTGGTAAAAGTGTTGGTAGGCGGAGCAGCACCAAAGTATGGTATGTGATGGTAGTGGCGGACCAATAGATAGCGGGGCTGCGGCAATGGCTCTGCGGGCAAGGGGCGCAGCGCTCTTCTCTAAGGCTGAGTAGGTGTAGAGACAGGCAACGGTGAAGGGCGACGTGACGAGCAGCAGACGACTAGGTCAGGACGGGTAAGGCAGCGGGCGGAGGGTGGTGTGGTGGGAGGCACAAGATATGTATACATAATATGACGCGGGATGGCAGCGGAGATTCGCCTCCGAGCGGACAAGCAGCGCGGGTCCAGACAGACAGTGGACGGGGGACTGGGGCCCTTGTGGGCAGCGTCGTCGTCATGTCCCGCACTCGCATGCACATACATGTGCTTGTCCCGGGCCTGGCAGAGCGCCTATGCAGCAGTATGCATAGTAGTGTGTATCCATATCCTGATGCTGTCAGTCAGGTTTGGGCTGCTTAGAGCCGGCCATTCAGCTCTACGCACTACGCACCAGGCGCGCGACCTGCATCCATCCCAGCCCTATGACCCCATCCCATCCTCGGCCACCTGCACCAAGCCTGCGCATCATCCGTGTCACGTGCCTGCGCGTGGTCCCTTCTCAACGCCTAGCGAGCGCGCCAACCACTGCTCTGCTGCGTGTACTTGTGAACGTGTGAACATCCGTCTCACCTCCACTACTCATGGACGACGTCCTCAACGAGCAGTTCGGCCGGGTCGAGAGGGCCCTGACCACCCTGGTCGACTCAATCGCCGCCTACAATCCAGCCACTCAAGCCGCAATCGACCTCGTGGCCGCTGATGACCAGCTGAGCGATGGCCTCGACCAGCGTGCGCATACACACCCCGCCCCGCGCATCCCACTGGCGCTGCTCGCTGACATGTCCTAGTCGCCAAACACCAAGCAAACCATGGCCGCATCCAAACCCTGCGTGCAGAGGCAGATGCTCTAGAAGCCCAGCTCAGAGACTCGGTCAGGAAGCTTGCAGAACTACGTCGCGAACTCTTCAACACACCCGCAACAACATTTTCTCCAGAATCGCGTGCTGTGCCATTTGACGAGCTCCTGCAGTACGCCACCAACATCTCGAGGTATACTGTTCCTCCGACATATCGCGAGCGCGTCCCCACCACCGACAAGGACGATGACGATGTGGGCTCGAGCGGTGCACCCACCAATGGCATGAACACGCCCGCCATTGTGCCAGACGCCGTAGACCTACCCAATGATAGCTCCGAGGCACAGAAGGGGGGCGAAGACGCAGATGGAGCTGTGCCTGACATCACTGCTGAAGAGGAAGAGTGGCTCAGGAAACTGAAAGCCAGCAATCTGGCATGGTATCCCTGGCCAAGCACCGAGAAGATTCGTAACGGCATTCTCTATCGTCTCTCGTACTGGCGCGAGAAGGGCAACGACCTGGACCAGTTTGACATACCGGCGTATCTAGAAGAGCAAAGAAAGAAGGCTCTGGGTAACGAGGCGAGTCTAGAAGAGACTCCAGCAGAACCAACAGAGGAACAACCACATCGGGAAGCCGCAAGGCCAACAAGGCCGCTTAGTGCCTTTACGGGTCTTGATGATATGGATGAAATGTAAGCAGCTTAGCATCAGTGCTAGACACTTGTGGTACACAAAACTCTTGCCCAGTTATTCCCAAGTATCCTGTGCTACTTCTCACATGCAATTGTCAATTCTCTCGTCACTTCAAAGTACAATGTCAGTAATGTGTACTTATAAGGTTTCAAGGTCAATGACGTCATTAGGTGCTGGCAAGTTATTTTGCCTTCAGCTTTAAGAACAAACATGTTGTGTGGATTGTCTTACTGGCGTGTATGTAGTCCTGCACATTGTCGTGCAGGCATTGGAAGCCTTTACTTACTCTCAGGAACTAGCCCGGCGAACCCTGTAGCTTTAGTCCCAATAGGGTTAGTACCTAAATTTTCGGGGAAACCGTGCTCAACTTTTCTCCAACTTCGCAACGCGACATGAACTTCAACTCACGTACGAACAATTAACAATAAAAATGGGCAGCAAGACGCGAAAGAGGGAGCGCGATGTGGATCCAGTTGAAAAGGTGGACGAGGCGCCCGCAAAACGACGCAGACAGAGCATAGATGATCAGGTGAAGCTCTCGAAGCTGTACGTGGATCTGGCCGCAGAGGAAGATGACGTTCGCTTTGAAGCCGCCAAACAAATTATTGTCAGGTTCGCTCCTGACAACAAACCAGCCGCAAAAGACGTTGAGGATGCCCTAGTACGACTGATAAAAGGCTTGTGCAGTCAACGTAAAGCAGCCAGGGTTGGATTCTCTCTTACATTGACAGAGTTTCTCCGCCAGATCTTCGGGGAGAAGAAGAGCGAAATCGAGGGCCTGGAGCTCGATGTAACATCCATCATCAAAATGGTCGAGGACAAGACGAAGCCTAAAGGCAATGTGCCAGGAAAAGTAAGAGAACGACAATAACGGCACAGTCCCCAATGCTAATTTGCATAGGAACGACGAGATCACACAATCGGAAAACTTTTCGGTTTCAAGGCCATTATGCAATCGTCAATCCTAATTGAGCCTCAGATTTCTTTGGAAAGCTGGAACAAGCTACTCGACCAAGTTTACAAGATGGCGCGCGACATTCCTTGGCTACGCGAAGAATGCGGCATGGTTCTTGTCGAAGCCGTAAGGAGTTTGAAGGGCCAATCACAGTATCAAAAGTGTGTAGAGGAATTGCTTGAACGCCTCAACTCATTCCAGTTGATTTCAACCCCTGAGGGTGTAGCTGTATGGCTCACCGTCAAGGAAAGCTACCCCGAGGCCCTTCCAGAGGGTGTCTGGCATGCCAAAGACCCCCTATCAAAAAAGGAGCGCTCTCGCCTGGCCAAAATCTTAAAGGAAGACTTCAACAAGACCGAATCAGAAGCCGGGAAGAAAGAGACTACAAAGACTGGAACCACGAACCCGAATCCGTCCTTTACCTGGGACCTAGCGTTCGCTGAGATGCTGCGCAGAGACGAGGCAGCAAAAGAAGATGCCCAGAACAAACCAGAGTTTCCGCAATTTTGGATTGACACCGTGGATGGTAAGTTTATGATGGCGAGAAGATATTGTTTCCTTGCACAACTAATAGAATGCAGGCAATCTCTTCTCTTCTTCCGCGTCTCATGAACGCAAAGCCTGGGGGTTCAAGCTACTATCCAGCATGGTTACACGAGTGCCTGATTGGGCTGTATCAGCACTTTTCAGTCCCAACCTGATGCGCACCCTCATCAACCAGAGCAAGAAGGAGGACAGATTTCTCCACTCGGCCGCATTAGCGGCGTTGAACTCAGTCCAGCTCCGGGTCGAGCAAGAAGACGGAACAGCGTTGCCCATCTTTGTTGCGCTAACATCGAAGAATGGGAGTGTTGAGTTTGATCGCATCACAAAGACGAAGACACTCGAGCAAATTCTTTTATCAGCGGACGATAAGAGCTTGATGAAAATTATACGTCATTTCAGGTCGTTGATCCTGCGTCCAGACAGCGAGGACCAAGCGGTTGCTGACAGCCGCCGACAAGCCATCGCGGACTTACTGCTGAGCACAGTCAAACTCTACAAACGATACGAGAAGTTCAACGAGAAAACTTTCAAGAAGGAGGTTGTTCATAGACAAGAAGGCCGCCCATTGGATGAGAGAAAATCGAATTGGCTCAGAGAGACCTTGGAAACGCTGGTAGAGTGTGCCTATTTTGTCCCTGCTCAAAATGCAGAAACCAAGAAAATGCCACTTCCACCTGTCAGCGATCGCAGTAGGACGGTATTCCAGGAACGCCTCTCTTCTTGTCTGACGAAGTTGCTTGACGTCAAGCTTGGAAGCCGCGCAGATGTCGCGCTACTGGTCATTGATATGATCAAAGCTAAGAGTGGAAAGTCTTCGAAATTGGAACTTGTCTTGAAGGCAGACCCCTCCATTCTGAGTACCATTAAGCAAGCATCAACGACTCTCGCCACTATTTCTGAAGCTGTGAGTACACGTTATAATCTCATTTTTAAATTGACTGACCCAAAATTATAGGGATCGATAGCTGGCAACGAGATGGCTGCGCAAGGCTTCATGCTTTTGTACTCGCTTACGCTTCTACAAGTTTACAATGGTGAGGGCGACGCTGTTATGATGCTCGACGATCTCGATGCTTCATACAAAGCTTTTGAAGCATCACGAAAAGCTTCATCGAAGAAGAAAAGGTCTTCAACGCCCGACGGCCAGAATGCCTTTGTGGAGATTGTGCTCTCGTTCTCGGGTAACGCACGCACACTGTTTCGTCGCATAGGAGAAGAGGCATTTTCTATCTTTGCTTCAGAGATCAGTGCTGATGGACTCCGATCGCTGACCGACATCCTGGATACGGAAGAAAACCTAGAAGGGCAGAGGGAACTTTTCAACCAGGGTGATGAAGACGCCGAGGAAGATGGATCAAGCGAAGACGATGAAGATGAAGATGAAATAGACTCTGACGTGGAGATGATTGATGGAGAAGGATCCAATGATACTTCTGAGTCAGACTCCAGTGATGGCGACAGCGACAGCGACAGCGAAGGAAACAGCGATAGCGAGGATGATGAAGAGGATGCTGAGTTGACACAGTTTGACAACATGCTAGCCATGACTCTTCAGACGTCCAAGCCAAACATCAATGACGATGCAGCAGAAGAGACATCGGACGAGTCGGACATGGACGATGAGCAGATGATGGCGCTGGATCCACATCTCAGCAAGATTTTCAAGGAGAGGAGCAAGACAACAAGTAAGAAGAAAGAGCGGGAGGATGCCAAGCAGAATGTGGTCCAGTTCAAGTCGAGGGTGCTTGATCTCCTTGCCATATACATGGAGAAGCAATACTCGAACCCACTCACGCTGGACATCTTACTTCCAGTGCTTCGCCGCACTCGCGCCAATGCAAACAAGCAGACGGCCGACAAGGCAGCTAAGATGCTCAAGACCTTCTTCGACACCCGCACAAAGCACAAGGCCCCTCTACCAAAGCCAGAGAACACTGAGCCTGTGTGGGAGCTGCTAAAAGGCATTCATGAGGAAGCAAAGCTGGGTAACGGGGCCAAGGTCCATGCAGACGCATGTGGCTCCGCCAGTCTGCATGTCGCGAAGGTACTCGTTGGCATGGATAGGGAAAACTATGCTGGTGTGGTGGATATATACGCAGAGACGCAGAAGCAGTGGTTCGCAGACAAGAAGTCTCCTCTCCAACCCGTGCTTTTTACGCAGTTCCAAAACTGGTCCGTTAACGCGCGGCAACAAGGAAAGTAAGTTCGTGGTAAAAGTAGGCCTGGGTTGTAGTCCAATAGAGTAGTATGTAATTGGTCAACACTTGAAGTTCTGACTGGTTTCTTTTCATGAAAATCTACCATCAAACCCGATTATTATATATAATGTACCTCCGTCATGTAAACGACAGGAATTGTGTAGTCACGTGGAGCCGCTTTCCAACTGCTGTACAGTCGTTGGTGGCGGTTCACTCATGTTTCAGGTCAGTGGGAATGGGAAGGTCCCCCCACTAGTCTTGCCCCGCGGCGGGGGTCTTCGGTAGCCCTAACGTAGCTATCTGCCATGTCGTACCAAACATTTCTAGACTTGAGTCCAGCAATCAACCCCATTTCTTTTCTCCATACAGCTCGCTCCCAGACATGGCTTGCAAGCACGTCAACGCATCCGGTCAGTTCTACTCTGGCCCCGCCCAAGCAAATACAACATTTTGCAATAACAGATTCAAGGTGGCAATCGCTCGAGCGAACGGCCTGTTGCCTTGGATATGATTTTCCGTGTAGCTTTGGCTTCAACGAGCGACGTACTAACATGCTATAGAGCTGCGGCCCCCAGGCCCCACGCAATCGGTCTACAGAGAAGACTGTACTCAATGCTTCGACTCGATCGACGACCCCACCGGCCTCGATGTCTGCCTGTACTGCTTCAACGGAGGCTGCACGAGCGATCGCAGCCATGCTCTCCTTCACGTCTCATCTACGAACCATCCGCTTGTCCTCAACATTAAGCGCACACGAAGGCGAGTCCAGCGTGACGAACCGCCTCAGAAGATGACAAAGCTTGCTGTGGCAGCTGAAACCGAATCCGACCGCTACGACACTACAACTCAAGTCAAGTGCTACGAGTGTGGGGTTGACGACGTCGATAAGAGCTCTGGAAAGCTTCCGGATATCGTCGACGCGGTTCTCAAGGCCAACACATTCGCCAAGCAGCAAGAGGTCAAGGCATGGGAGCAAGAGCTGACCGCTTGCGAACATACGCTGTGCCTCGAGCAGGATGCAGCACGGCAAATTGAGTCTCAAAAGCTGGGCCATTGCTCAGAATGCGAGCTGAATGAGAACCTGTGGCTATGTTTGTCCTGTGGTAACTTGGGTTGTGGTCGTCAGCAGTTTGGTGGCGTTGGTGGCAACTCACACGGCGTTGGTCATACCAAATCAACGGGCCACCCGGTCGCAGTCAAACTTGGTTCTCTCACTGCTGACGGTACAGCTGATATCTACTGCTATACTTGCGACGAGGAGCGCATTGATCCAGAGCTACCAGACCACCTGGCGCATTGGGGCATCAACATCAAAGACAGGGTGAAAACTGAGAAGAGTCTCACTGAGATGCAGGTTGAACAGAATTTGCGATGGGACTTTGCCATGGTGACGGAGGACGGCAAGGAGTTGCAACCATTATTCGGACCAGAATTAACGGGACTAAAGAATTTGGGCAACAGCTGCTATCTCAACAGCACGTTGCAGGCTCTGTTTTCGATGCCAGAGTTCAAGGAGCGGTACTACTTGCCTGAACAGGCGCCACCTGATGCAGCACTTCCTGCAGAAGACCTGGAAACTCAATTGCGCAAGATTGCAGATGGCATGATCTCTGGTCGGTACTCGAAGCCTGACACCGATGTCATTACCAATGAGCAGAGTCCGGAAATCCCGCACCAGCGCGGTCTTGCGCCTGCGATGCTGAAGCACTTGATTGGGCGAGGTCATGCCGAATTCTCTACAATGCGGCAGCAAGATGCCTTCGAACTGCTCCTGCACATGCTCAAGCTCATCTCTCGGTCACAGCACGTTGCACCCCACAAAGACCCTGTCGATGCTTTCCGGTTTGTTATGGAGCAGCGGCTACAGTGTGTTGGCTGTAAACGTGTTCGGTATAGGACAGACGAACAGGAAAACATTTCGATTCCCGTCCCTATTCGTAGGATACCAAAGGAGTCGCAAATGGATGTCACTGATGGCAACGGCAAAAAGGAAGAGAAGGAAGAGTTTGAACCTGTCTCTCTGAAGGAATGCATTGACATTTTCACGGCTGAAGAACTGGTCGAGCTTACCTGCAGTGCCTGCGGTAGCAAGGATGGGTTCACAAAGAGGAGCATGTTCAAGACGTTTCCGTCGGTTTTGGCAGTGAATGCGAGACGCTTCGAGTTGGTGAACTGGGTACCTACTAAGCAAGATGTGCCAGTCATCGTTAACGACGAGCCATTCTCATTTGATGCCTACAAATCAAACGGATTGAGCGAAGGGGAAGAACTCCTTCCCGATGATGTGGACATGGGGGGAGCTGGAGGATCGGCAGGCAAGTGGGTCCCCAACGAGGCGGCGTTATCGATGCTCGAAGCCATGGGCTTCCCAAGGGTCAGGTGTGAGAAAGCGCTACATGCTACAGGAAATGAAGATGCTGAAGCAGCGTCAAACTGGCTGTTCGCGCACATGGAGGATCCTGATATTGATGATCCCGTAGACTTCAACGCTGGCTCGAGTGGGAACACAGCTGCTGCGTCCGCTATTGATCCCGAAAAGATTGAGAATCTAGGCGCTATGGGCTTCAGCGCTCCCCAGGCACGACAAGCTCTCAAGGAGACAGGCAGCGACATGGAGCGAGCTGTAGACTGGTTGTTCAGTCATCCGGATGCACCCGGCGACTTTGACGAAGGTGGCAGCTCCGATGCCCCTGCTGATGCGACGGAGAAGGCATTAGCAGGTAGTGATAAGCTGCCTGCGAACTTCCAGTTGCAGTCGATTGTGTGCCACAAGGGAAGCTCGATCCATGCTGGGTAAGCTAAACAATCTAGAAACGTCGCTGGACGGTACTGCAGATGACCATGAACTGACCCTCTACAGACACTACGTTGCATTTGTTCGCAAGCAACTGCAAAACGAACAGTCGGCCTCGTGGGTTTTGTTCAATGACGAAAAGGTGGCCAAGGCTGCAGATGTGGAGGAGATGAAGAAGTTTGCCTATGTGTATTTCTTCAGGCGTTTGTAAGACGGAGGGTCTAGGTCTTGCATCACGGACTAGCATAGCGAGCACGGAGTTGGCTCGGATTAGCATTGACACAGCCAAAAGGAGCTGTGTTTGAGGTAACGGCTTTTGTTAGCATTGTAGAGGTGCAGCAGATGCGGAATGTATGAATAGCAAAAGTTTCCATGTGATAAGTATGTCGTGGATGGAAGCGGCTAGGCTCTGCGGCGACATAGAAGCTTTTGGCTGATGCTGCATGTTCTCGGTCGATCGGTGAAACCGGAGAACCTAGACCAAACCGAGCCCCCTTTACTATAAATTATCAGCACCACGACAATATTGTTTTGACTAGAAATTTAAGGAGATAAATGCGCCGGCTCTGAGTTTACTACTCCGCAGCACATATTGAGTAAATACTACTAGTGATGCTGTAGCAGCAACGAAAGCTTCAAGCGGACTTTCTACTGTCGGTGCTGGGTTATCTCCGGCTCGACTGGCCGACCATGAGACATGTGCTAAGTGTGGGGTAGTTAGCGCACAGATTACGTCGCCGATCACGCTTTTCCGCGCAGTACTTCTATTGCCCGTCGCCATCTATCATCTCCGCCACACCTACACACACATCCCAACACCTACCTGCTACCACAATAACTGCCAAATATCGATTTTTTAACGAACAAACTGCGCATACCGAGTCCATCATCATGTTCAGGAGAGTCGCAGCAGCCGTGCCTGCCCAGGCCGGACGAGTACTTGCAACCGCCGCGAGACCCAGCATCGCATCGCCCATCCGCACAGCAGCACCCGCAGTATCAGCAGTCGGACGGCGGCAATACCACGAGAAAGATAAGTCACCCTTTGCCTACTTGACCTGGAGGTGGATGGCATGGCGATATCGGGGAGCTTGCAAGATTCACCTGTGATTGGGCCAATCTTGTCCGATAACAGCAATTGCATGAGAATACTCAGCTAACATGCGTAGCACTGCTCGACCACTACAACAGGCCACGAAATGTCGGTTCAATGTCAAAGACTGATAGCGATGTCGGCACCGGACTCGTCGGCGCACCCGCATGTGGCGATGTCATGAAGCTCCAGATCCGAGTTGACCCGAACAACAACACCATCAGCGATGTAAAGTTCAAGACATTCGGATGTGGCAGCGCAATTGCCAGCTCGAGTTATCTGACCGAGTTGGTCCGAGGCATGACATTGGAGGATGCGGCGCGGATCAAGAACACAGAGATTGCCAAAGAGCTCTGCCTACCACCTGTAAAGCGTGAGTTTTTTTTTTCGGCCAAAAGTTATGTGTGATGAGACGATGCTAACTGGCTGCAGTGCACTGCTCTATGCTTGCCGAGGACGCCATCAAGTCCGCCATCTCCAACTACTACACCAAGAACCCCAAGGCACGACAAACAGATCTGGGCGGCAAGTCGGCGCCATTGCCAAAGGTTGAAGTCGAGACTGTGTCCTCTGCGGCGGCCTAAGAAGCATGTTTAGCATAAATTGATACCGAAGACACCAAGGGGAAGGGCGAAAAGTGGCCTATGGAGAAACCTGATGTTAGTCTCTCGTTACTCAATGTATTGATTGGGGCAAGGGCGTTTGTGCGTTAGGAATGTTGGCTTATTGTACAGTCAAGCCGAAAGTATACCTAAATTATCATCGCAATGAACAAAAACACTTGAATATTGAGATATACCGGTTTGGCTTATTCGTGAAGTATGTACATTGTATTTGAGAGAAAAAGAATGTTCACAATGGCGTAAGTGACAGGGCTGAGAAATGTTAAATACTGGTGAGGAGAACTGGCGGGGAACTGGCTGTGTAAGGTGAGAATCACGCCATGCAGGTGCTCCAGATCTCATTGTCCATCTGATTGTGCGTTTGTGTGATAGTGCGTTGTGGACCCATGACGCGTATTTCTGGGGTACGGACCGAACCACTATTTGCTGCTCTTGCTCAAACATAGTGTTGCAATGTAATAGGAGCACTGCTCTCTGTCCACAGGCCTATATCCGGTGAGAAAAGTAAAAGTATTTGCCAATGACGGTGTGGACCCTGTTACCAAGTAATACCATTCGCGACCTCGGTCCTTAACACATCGACACTCCCGGACAGCCTACACGCTTCATAACAAACTCGTTCAGATTTCCGGAACATGGCGACGGTGCAAGACGACAGCTCAGCATCTGCGATACGCTTCAAGCGTCGCAAGACTACCCATCCGAAGCGTGTCGCTGTTGAAGAAGATGCGCCTACCGTCGTCACCTCGCAATCTCCAGATGCAACCAGTTTGCAGCACGCGCCGTCGCACTCAACCGAAGCCAACAACGATGAAGAGTCTGTTCCCAACCTGAAAGAGATAATCCGCAACAGAAAGCGCCCTCGGGATCGCCCGAAGGAAGGCTTGCGCAAGGCAGAAGTTCCCCTGACGCACATGGTTCACATGGACGACGCACCACGACCAGACCAATATACGGGACGTTTTGTCGCACAGACGGGACAGGTGGTGGATCGCGACGACAGGCAAATGTAAGTGGAGCATGCGACAGGGCCCAAAAGGCCGGCGCGTCTGGGTGTGGCAAGTGCAGACACTGATGTGCTAGGTCGGAATACGTAGAAGCCCGCATGGCTGAAAAGAACTATCGTCAATACGGCTGGCCTATCCCACAGCACCTTCAAGCTTCAGTAGCAGCCATCGCACCGGATTTACAGCATACATTTACTTCAAGAACATCCGCGCGTGCGCCAGCGGGAGCAGAGAATCCGGTGGATAAGGAACATAGCGAGCGATTGGCAGCGGGCCAGGGCAAGCTTCAGGAAGTAGATCTGGGCCCAGAAGCCAGAGCGCGCATCGAGCAGGCTTGGAAACGACTGGAGAAAGGCGAACCTGAACAACCGGCGGGCAAGACGCCACGAGACAAGTATGGCTATGCATGGCGCAAGTCGAGAGGGGGTGGGAAGACGGACGAGGACAAGAAGCGCGATCAGATGGTTGAGGCCGTACTTAGCGAGGCAAAGCGTATGTCTCTCCCACCATATTTCTTTCTATCCATTCTTGTATTCCTACTAACCACTTTATTCTACAAACAGTCGACTACTTCGACTCCCCCGCACCATCCATCCCCCTCGCCACAACCTCCACCCATACAAATACCGACGACGCGCTCGTCGAGCAATTCCGCACCGAGTATTTCGAATCCATGGAAGCAAGACGCCAGCACCACGCAGCCCGTAAAACAGCAACAGCAGCAGCAAAGGGTGCGGCGCCATCGATTTCAGGTCCCAAAATGGGAGGTAGTAAGAGTGCGAGGGCCAGGATGCACAAGTTGCAGCAGGAAGAGTTGGCAAAGAAGAAGAGGTGAGATTAATCATATGTGTAGATGAATTATTATTATTTTTTGAATAAAGGATCATGGTATCGAGAAGTGTTGTACGTACATATAAAATGACAGGAGTTTAAAGATGATATATCAAAAGGGAACCAAAAAAACGCCATCCCTCATTTACAATCATTCATGCCGCCTTTCCACGCTGAAGCCAATATATCCCAGACCTAACCAACCCAAAAAAAACGCCCTTTACTCTTCCCTTTGACCCAATATCCTCAAATCTTCTTCGGTCCACCACCTACCTTCTTCCCTCCCCCTCCAACCTTCTTCCCCACCCCACCCCCAGACGTAATCTTAATCGGCACCCCACTCTTCGTCACCACGGTGCCTCCTCCTCCGGGACTTTCGTTCCCCTTCTTCTGCGCCTCCTCAATCTCCTTTTTATCAACTCTAATCACAAGGCCATTGTTGAGAGTCACGGTACCTGTTTGCTTCGCTTGCTCAGCTTGTGTTTGGGGGATTTTGATGGTGACGCCTGAGGCGAGGAGGACGTCCTTTGTGGGGCCGTTGGGTGTGGGTTTCTTTGCGGGGGTGCTGGGTTTTGAAGGGGTGGAAGGGGAGGGTTTCTTGGTTGCTGGTCCTATCGCAGCGGCGGTGGCGCTTTGGGCTTTACGGATTGGAAGTTTAGCAGTTATGTTGGGGGGTTGGAGGGTCTTTGGTGGTGGTGGCATCGTTGAGGTTGGACGACGCATGCCGTTTGGTAGGACGGCGCCGCTTGATATTGCTGTTTCCTTTACGAGTTTCGCGAGGTTTTCTTGAGTGAGGCGTTGGACGTTTGACATTTGGTTTGGAGAGGCGGCTTGTTCGGCGCCCATTTTTGCAGCGCCTTCGATCATTTTTTCGAGTTGATCCGGGCTAGGGAGTTTGCTCATATCGCCGGTGCCTTGGCCTAGGAGCATCTTCATGTGATTTTCGAAGAATTCTTTGCCGCCGGGTATGGGTATGTCGTCGGGAGAGGCGCCGTAGGCGACGGTCAGGGCCATCATGATGGATGTGATTGGCGCAAAGATTTTGACAAATTCGTTCCAGTTGCCGCTCTTGACTTCGGTTTCGATCTGGACTGCGGGACGGGGGACGGTGCGGATGGTTTTGCCGTTGCTGCGGCTGGACTCGCTCCGGATGTCCATGTCCAGGTGGTCTTTCCAGAAGTCTTCGGCGGGGAACCGGTTGTTGCGGTTGAAGTATTCAAGCATGTAGTCCTTCTCTCGCCAGCGGTTTCTTAGCCACACTTCGAATGCGTGTGTGTTTTCGTAGGGAATGTCGGCGAGACGGAAGCGGCGCCAGTGCATGTTTACGGATTTCGGGGGTCGGCCTTCGAAGAACGAGGAGCGGAGGGTAAAAATATCCTGTCCATATTGGCCCGGTGGTATACCTTCGTATGCAATGGTGCAGTCATAAAGCCAGTCTGTAGTATCTTTTAGCTCGTTGAGGCAGAATTTTAAACCAGTGCTGCGAGGAAGTAGCTGATGCTTCATATCCTGGAGTCCATTCTTCTCAGCCCATTTCTTGCTTTTTTCCCGAGTCGTCGGAGACAGGTTCGTTCCTTCGGGGAAAATAATGAGCCACATAGGATCTCCCTTCTTATTCAACTTGGAAAGGTGCTTCTTAAAAGTTCTTTCATCCTCTTCCCACTTCCTCGATAAAAAGATGAAGTTGTAGAACTGTGCGCCCCACCCGATAATGGGTATGTTCTTCAACGACTCCTTCAGGATGATGTAGATGAAGCCATGCATGTTGTTCGTGTAGGCGATCCACCATAGGTAAAGCCAGTCGGTATAAAGCTGGTGGTTCGCCATGAGGACCATACGGTCGGCAAAGTTACATTGAAGAGAACCATCTTTGCGCTTGATGAGCTGGCCGACCATGGTGGAGTCTCCAGAGACGCGGACGACTGTTGGCGCCCACCATTGGGTCAGGCAGGTGATGAGGATGGCGAAGCATTCTTTGGTATAGGCCATATACCCATCGTAGAATTGAGGATCGATGAGTTTCAACGGCGCGCCTAGGAACTGTGAAGCGCTTATGCTACGATACGTCAGTTTGATTGTACCCCAAAGGCGACGGCCAGGTATGCATACGCTAGCACTCCAGACAAAAAGGTCGAGGCCAATGTGAATGCTCTCTCTGCCTGTGTCAGCTCGCCATAGCGCGGCGGCCCAGCTGGATGCGCATCAACATTGTCTTTTGAGATTCGCAGCCCAGCACCCAGGTCGTCCTTCTTCTTCCTCTTGACAGATGCCGGCACTGGTGTTCTGTTCGCTGATTGGCCCGCAGCAGTGCCCGTCGACAGCTTAGCGGGAGGTTTGGGAGCCGTTGACTTGGTAGCGGGCGTAGGCTTCTTTGTCGCTGGTGGCATCTTGAAGAGTAGCAGAAACACGCAAACATTCAAATGTTCAAACGGCAAACACAAAGGCCTCGCACCCTCCCCCCAGTGACGGGCTACCCGCGACCCGCGACGTCAGTGCAGGGTCGAGATCAAGACGGCTGCTCCACTTGTGTCCCGTCAACCCTGGTCTGTCAGCCGCGATATGACGTCGATGTGTGGCGCTGTGCACTATGGCCACACCAAAGCAAGATATGGGACCATAACCATTCCCTCTCTGCTAGCTCATTAGCTTCCTCACTAAATAATATACGCACTCCGCAGTATACATTTGCTCCTCAGTAGCATCGCCTGTATTTCCTCTCAGAGCCATCATCCACATTTTGACTAAGCAGTGAGTGGTCCCCCTTGACAGCCAACCCTGCCCATGTGCAGTATTGGCAGACTTTCCAAGTCTTTCCATTGACACGTATTCATCAGATTCATTCTCAAAAGAAACATCACACATCTACCACAATGCCTGCCTCAGTAGCATCAGCGCCCGTCAGACACACCCCCAACAAGACGACTGCCACAAGAAACGTCAAGAAGGCAGGCACAGCCGCAACCAAGAAGCCCCAAACAAACGGCGCCGTAAACGGAGCCACAAACGGAGCATCGCACCCCCAAATGTCGCCTTATACCATCATGGCCTCGAGAATCGCCAACCGCGTCGCCGAAATGGCAGAAAACATGACGTTTGTCGAGCGAGAAAAGTGAGTCTCCTCTCTCTTCAAAGAAAACCATTCACTGACAAATTTCGTCTCAAAAGGCCTCAGCCACAACAAAACGGCGCCGTGCAACCGCAAGCCGCGCCTCGCAAGCCCCCGCGAAAGCTCGAAATGCGCATTCCCAACAGCGGCGCTTCACCTACAAACATTACGTTTAGCGCGCCCTTCCTTGACAACACGCTGTCTAAGCTGTTGACACTGCAGAACCGCATGTTGACTGTTAGCAACGACATTGCTGCATGCGAGGATGTGGACGAGAAGACGAAGCAGGAGCAGTTTGCGCAGAGCGCCGAGTTGAGCCGCATCATCGCACTGATTTGTGCTGAGAAGGCTAGGCAGGGTGCTTAGTTCTTCTTTTTTGCTTTCTTTTCCCTTGCTTGTTTTCGGGCTTGAATGACAGCATATCATGTCTTTCACCACGTTATCATTTTCTATTTTCATTCTAAAGTGGCGTTTGGAGGCGGTGTTTCCCGTATGTATAACGAAATAGGTGGCTTTTCTTTAAACGCAGATAAGCAGGGGTTTGTTTTTTGTACGAATAGTTATAGATGAGAATGACAACGAAAATCTTTAATGGTACTGCAAAACTCTTTTCCTGTTCAGTTGCGGTCTCGTGATGCTAGTCTGGTAAGGTTACCCCTGAAACAAAAGTAAAATGGTCTTTCTCACTAGAGGAGCAAAATGGACACTTGCCACATATGCCCTTTACTGCAGCAAGCCGGGCCCCATCACGCCCAAAGGACCCAAAGAAAACCTGCGTCTTGTACCAGAGATCGACACGCGCCATGGCTGAGTTGGGCGGGACATTCTGTGGTAAAGCGTACGTCATGGAAATGCGGGGGTTGTTGCTGCGGCGGGATAGCGTACACCGGTAGTCGCACGCACGCACCCCTGCATTCTCGAAACCGGTTCCAAAGAGTTGCGCAGTGGCGCACTTTTTGCCGCAATGACAAGAGATCGGCGGCGAATTGGGGGAAAAAGAGGGTCTGGGTCAGTCTGGAGTGATGGCTGTGTTCTGGGAGAAAGATTGAGCTTCTTACTACTTACTTTACTTGTTACTACATACTGTATTCTACGTTAGGGTTGCATGTAGAGCTGCTACGTACCCTGTTTTGTAACTGATATTGTCCAACTCATTGCATTTGCCAGCTTTAGAGATTATTCGTCGACACTCTCTCTTGTTTTGTTGCATCTGCGAAAATGACGAGCTTCATTTCAAACATCATCTGGAACTCTGTCGAGGGGTTCGTGGATGCGGGAAAGAAATCGGCGGGCGAATTTGGCGGCAATGCGTTGATTAAAGCTGGAGATATGATTGAGAATAGCGGTAGGAGCATAGGAACCGGTAGGTTTGACTCCTTTCTTGCTCCACCCCTAGAACCCTTTCAGATTCATATAGAATCGCATATCCTCGACTTTTCTTAGGAAACACTGACTGAACCCATCTCTTAGGCATAGAAAAAAAGGCAACTAGCTATGGCACTGCCATCACAGGCCAGCCCTATAAGCCTTCAGCAAAGGCCCTGCCCTCGACTGCCCGTAAGCCCGCAATGAAGCGCTCGAATTCCACACCTGTGAACGTCAAACCACCGACAAGCGGAATACCCTTGGGCGCGAAGAAGTATCCTGGCGGCAATCAAATACAAGGAGCTGTTGGTGGAGCCAAGAAGACGGCGGGAGGAGTCAACAAAGCCATTGGCGGTGTTACTGGCACCGCATCCAAAGCGACTGGAGGTGTCGTGGGCCGAGCAAATAGCACAATCGGCACTCTTTCATCCACGGCAACAAAAGGCCCGGGTAGTGTTGTAGGAGGCGGTCGGAAAGCCCTCGGCGGAGCTACTAAGTCTATCCCCCCTTTCAAGGGTCCAGGTCCGACATCTGCTGCTCCGAATAATAGCATCCCTAAGCCAGCTTATCCTACCGAGAAGAAGAAGGCCGTGAAGCCAGGCCAACCGAAGCCGTTTACACCGCCGGTTGAACAAAAGAAACCAGATCCGAAGAAACCTTATCCAGGAACGAATACATTGCCAGGACAAAGCCGGACGCCGGTGCAGCAGCATAAGTATAAGCCCTTACCCAGGCTGGGCCCGCAGGTTGGTCTGGGGCAAACCATGCAACATATTTCCATCTGATTTGCGAGGGTGTTTTCGTCTTTCGGCGTTACAATGTAAGACTAGATCCTAAGTTTCGGGAGTAAGCAATTTAGTATTAGTAGTATATCATTATTCCAAGGATCCATAGTTGTATTGTCAGCTGTGCGTGGGAATCGTGGATACCGGATGACCCCGTGCTACGGTGCTTTCATCTCAACACGATCTGGTGTGGTGATATGAACCGCGACCTTACAGCCCATGTGTAGTGGAATGGGCGTACAGCTGTCCAAATGGTAGTCAGCACACGCTCGGGCACCCTGATGTCGTTAACTTCGGCCAGACTCCGGTGTCGGCGGGTCTGTTTCCGCTGAGCACCATTGCTCATCATTGTCGATCGCTCCACCGAACCCCACACATCCTTGCCTCAACTGTAGGACCCTCGACCTATCATAAATGGCGCAATGGGTCAGACGTCGTCTCGGCATTTGGGGGAAGCATTCCGGGGGTAAAGCTTAGGTTTCTTATATATTCCCGGCCATCCGATGTGTGACTAGGTGCATCTTGTGTGCCGTCTCGCTTTCCTTCTCGTCCTTGAATACGTCGGACTCATGATGGCGCCGTTTTCGACCAAGAGATACTATGCAAGCGATAATCGGGACGAAGAGAAGGTTGAAACGGTGGCAGTTGAGAAGAACGGAGATAATATTCCAGATGCGCCTGTTATGAGAGAGATTGATCCAGTCATTGAGAAACGTGTACGACGGAAACTGGATAAACACGTTGTCCCACTGCTATCAGCGCTATATCTTCTTGCCTTTCTCGACAGATCCAACATTGGGTAATGCGACATATCAAGAACTTTCTCAGATCCAACTGCTTACACAAGACATAGAAACGCGCGCATTGCCGGTATGGAAGAGGACCTCCACCTCAGTAGCTCGGAATATTCATGGCTGCTAACGATATTTTACATTTCCTACATCGTCTTTGGCTTCCTCATCGTCATGTGGAAAGTCGTGCCTCCGCATCGCTGGGCTGCAGGATGCGTTTTCACATGGGGCCTGATATCGAGCGCACAAGCTGGAGCTCAATCATGGACTGGAATGATGGTGCTCCGCTTCCTCATGGGGGTTGCTGAAATCGCTTTTGGGCCTGGCGTACCGTTCCTGCTTTCGTTCTTTTATCTCAGACACGAGCTCGGTCTGAGATGTGGATTGTTCCTGTCGGCCGCACCGCTAGCAAACACATTTTCGGGCGCGCTGGCTTACGGTATTACCAGCGGAAATCCTTCGTTTGCAAAGTGGCGCGTACTGTTTCTCGCGGAGGGACTTCCGACAGTTGTAATGTCTGTTGTGACATGGTTCTTTTTGCCAGACAGCCCAGAGAAAGCGCGATTCCTTACCGAAGAGGAAAAGACTGTTGCCAAAGCACGTGGTGTGGTACAGGCGGGTACAGGGAATCGAATTGGAAGCATTGAGTGGAGGGAAATGCTGGAAGCGGTACTAGACTTGAAGAGTTGGGTCCTAGGCGCAAGTAGAGTAAACTCGTTGGGTACATCGAGCGAACTAACAATCTTTCAGATTATGTATTTCTCCGGCAACGTAGCATTCTCATCGCTACCAGTCTTTTTGCCTACCATCCTTACTGAGATGGGATTCTCGCACGTGCACGCACAGGGACTAACAGCACCTCCCTTCTTCGTCTCTTTCCTTACTGTCATTGTGACTTGCTACATTGCCGACCGCACCCAACAGCGCGGTATCATGATTGCCATACTCACAGCAATCGGGGGTGCTGGTTATGTGATCCTGGCTACGACCAAGGCTGTGGCAGCAAGATACTTTGGAGTCTTCCTAGCTGCTGCGGGCATCTTCCCGGCCATTGGCAATGTTCTGCCGTGGATCACGAACAACCAGGGTACAGATACGCGGAGAGGGACTGGCCTGATGATGGCGAACCTCATTGGGCAGTGTGGGCCGGTACTTGGAACTCGACTGTATCCAAAATCAGAGGGGCCGCTGTATGTCAAAGGCCAGTCGATTTGTGCGGGGTTCATGTTCCTCTTTTGCCTGCTGGCTATCCTGTTGCGAACTCTACTTGCGTGGGAGAACAAGAAGCTGGATAGACAATACGGGACTTTGGCGCAGCAAAAATCAGCGATGCAGGAAGCTGCAAAGGGCGGGGAGGCGGTCCATCAGGTCGGACTAGAGAACTATGGTCCAATGTATCGATATGTACTGTAGTGGGGTCAATGGTAAGAGAAAATGGCTATCATGGCGTTGAATGGCGGTATGCAGCGTAAGGTTGGCGACATGTGAAAAGCAATGAAGAGGGGACTGGTTGTGCATGCAGCGGGTGGTGGAGCAGGGGCATGCAGCTTGTCTTCCTGCATTGATGGGATAATTACTAGTGATGTAGCTATATGATAGATAATTCATCGGGATGGTTGTGCAGTCAGGAGCGAATCTGTATCGAATCAGTTCAAGGGCGAAGGAAGGTAGCGTGTTTGAAACTGGCCCCCCGTCTGTCCTCGGCCTACGTGTCCGAAAGAGGAAACCGCGCACACGACATCTGTTATGTGCACCACGACGGCCAAACGTCAATCAATGCCATGTTCTCATCATGGCAATCTGCAAGCCGGCCCAGAGATCAGCGCATCCAAGCGCACAAATATCCATGGTCAGCTTGCAGGGCACCGCCAAGGCGCAGCACCGGCGGTTCCCAGCGTGCGAACGGGCAGAAAGCTGGGGCAGCTGGGCCAATGACGAGCTGGGGGACGCACGCACCGCAGCACTGGCCCCCAATAACGTCACTGCCAGATTCTGGATGAACAATGTCGTCTTGCGCTGCTCGTCCTCCTGTGCGCCCCTACTTCTAGACGCCTGCGTGTCTGCATCCCAGTGGCCCTCAACTGTATCTACGCCCCATCACCCACCCATCGTAGCTCCACCATTGCTGCCGTTCCGAGGCGCGCCTTGCTGCAATGCCGTCCAATTCCTCCACTGGGCCTGGACCCGCCAGCGCTGCTAACTCAGGTCATGCTTCGTACGCGACAGCTGCAGCCTCGGATCCTGTTTCGCGCCAAGGACAAGACGCCGACTCTGCTTCTGCTCTGCCCAAAAAGAAGAAGAAGACGCATCGTGGTGGAAAGAAGAGGCGCAATCGTCGCCCATCCTTTGCCGCAGGAGCCGATCTGCCACAGGCTGACTCAATGGATGAGCGTCCCACCCTCGCCAACGCCGCCAGCCACGGCCAGTCACGAGGGAGCAGCAGCTTCTACCGCACCCACAGCAATCTCAGCAACACCAGCCTCGAGAGTGAAGCCCTGCTGGACCACCGCGAACAGCCCACCATCCGGACGCGTCGTCCAAGCGTGCCTGTGACGTCCATGTACCCGCCTCGGGGGAGCCAGCCCACCCCCAACCCTCAACGCCTGCAGCCCTCGAAACCAGCAAACTCGTACGGAAGGTCGCGCCTCTCACATACCCCCGACCTGCTTCACCACAGCGATGCCGCCGACGACGACGAAGACGACGACACCAACGACAGGACCCCCTTGATGAGCTCCTCTGTTCGTGACATCAGGTCAGGCACAAGCTATGGCTCAAACGGCGGTAATGCACGTAGCAGGAGCGGCACGTCCTTGTCTGCTCCCAAGCACATGACGATGCCTGAACACCGACCCGACCTCTTCACCCAGCACCATCACTCTGCCACAAACCTCAACGACTACGATGTTAACAACCCCCCGTCCGTGCCCACCAGCCCGACCTTTGAACCCCACTCCGGACTGGACGATGTCATGATCCCAACAGATCTCGACCACATGTCCGATCCCGGCCGACCCAGCAGCAGAAGTCGCGATGCATTGATCAACATTGACGGGGACGAACATGGAGGCTCGCCTCCCTCTGCTGGCGACTTGAGACGTCGTATGACCACAACGGCACTTGAAGATGTCTGTTTCCCACACGAGGCCATGTCTGAAATAGGACACGAGGATTATATGAACGCGCCGACGACTGGTGAGCCTACGAGCCGACGGAGACGCCGCCGCTGGCCTGATCTCGACGTACTACAGGCATGGGCAAACCAGGAGAAGGAGCAGCGGACCATGGACGGCATGCGCATGCGCAAGGTTAGCGAACCGCTCATGGTCGAAGGCCGTCTGCGTCCCAGACGGCGCGTCTGGCACCGTGAGGCGAGCGATGCACCCTATCGATTTACTTATTTTAACGAAACCTTTGACAATACCATTCATAGTCAAAGCATCAGCGAACTGCTGCAGCCCGGTCAAAGTTTCAGGAATCTGTTTGTCCCGGATCCCCCAATTATCGAAGACACTAGCGATAGCTCTGATACGGAGGATGATATGCTACACTCGGGTACCAATGGACATAATTCGCGATCGGCTTCCAAAGTGGACGGCAAGCACTCGTCTGGAGAGCAGACACGCTCCACGACGCCGCGTCCAGCAGAAACACCAAAGGCTGAGGACGAGAAACCGAAGCGCTACGGCCCACGACCTGCGTGGTGGCTGGATGTCATGTCGCCCACGGAGACGGAGATGAAGGTCATTTCCAAGACGTTTGGCATTCACCCCTTGACATCCGAGGACATCTTGATGCAGGAACAACGCGAAAAGGTCGAACTCTTCAAGCACTACTACTTCATCAACTATCGAACGTTTGAGCAGGATGAGAACAGTGAAGACTATCTGGATCCCGTCAACCTGTACGTTGTTGTGTTCCGGGAAGGTGTAATAAGCTTCCACTTTTCCTTGACACCGCACCCTGCAAACGTTCGTCGCCGCATCCGCCAATTGTCAGACTACCTGGTTCTGTCGCCTGATTGGATTTCGTATGCCATAATTGACGATGTGACGGACGCGTATGCACCCATGATCCAGAAGATTGAGGAAGAAGTCGACGACATTGACGAAGCCATTCTGCGTCTTCACTCGAGCGATGAAGAACAAGAGGCGGAGAAGGAAAAGAATCACAGCTACAACAACCCGCACTACAAGGATCCGCCTGAGGTCAAGTCCCAGCAGGACACGGGCCGAGACATGCTGCGTCGGGTAGGCGAGTGCCGAAAGAAGGTTATGAGCCTGTACCGGCTGTTGGGCAACAAGGCCGATGTCATCAAGGGATTTGCAAAGAGATGCAACGAGCAGTGGGACATTGCACCTCGCAACGAAATCGGCATGTATCTTGGAGATATTCAAGATCACATTGTTACCATGACTGGCAACTTGAGCCACTATGAAAAGTAAGTTTGAAGCATGGCTTGCTTGAGACGCAAACTAACAAAGGATTACAGTCTTCTTTCTCGCGCGCATAGCAACTACCTGGCGCAGATCAACATCCGGATGAATGAGCGACAAGAAAAGACGTCTGACATTCTGGGCAAGCTAACGGTGTTGGGTACTATTGTGCTGCCCATGAATGTTGTGACGGGTATCTGGGGCATGAACTGGTAAGTGCATAAGATTGCATGGGGCCAAGATGAGAGATGCTGACCAAAAGCTAGCCTTGTGCCCGGACAAGATATTCAAAACCTCAACTGGTTCTGGTCCATTACTGGGGGCCTTATTACGTTTGGTCTGGCTTGCTACTTTATTGCAAAGCGGGTTTACGGCATTGTTTAAGCAAGAGCGGCGTAAAGAAAGTGTGCATTTTGTAGGGGTTTGCGGACAAGATGTTGCAACCCTTTGGCGTTGGGGTTTGATATAACGTAGTGATGGATATGGCATTGTTGTTGGGTATTCCTGTGGATCGAGATTGTACATTGTTCTTCTGTTCTGACTCTAATAGAAGATTTTGGATAGCTGCGGCGTCTAGTATGTTATCATCATGATTCTGACTTGTCGACTGTGAAGAAGGGTTGATGTTGAGGGGCCGTATCGGCGGGGTCAGTGCCACAGGAGGGGAGGACACATGGGTCGGTAATAACATTTGGCGCAGTAGGTTTTTCAGTAGCGGTGTGGTTCCGGTGAGCAGCTGATGGTGGCGGAGGCTGATGATATGTACATTTGTCAAGAGCTGTGGCAGGAGCTGAGCAGTTGTACTAGGAGATGCCCGAAACCTGAACAATCATGCCGCCCCAACCTGCTGCAAGTTGCGGACCGTTGGTCATGGAAGGGAATGGACTCATTTGTACGTAGGGACATTTCTAAATCGTAATGGTACCTCTCTTCCGCGTGTGCTTTCCGTAGGGCCGCGATAATGTTCAACATGTTGGGTGGCATCTTCTGGAACGGCCCGTGGGCAGCCTTTGGGTCGATTGGGCAGCCTCTGGAGGGGACGAGAAAAAAAGAGGTCGTCTGATGTCTCTCTTGGATGCTGCCTTGACTGTACATACGTACGCAAAATCGAATCAGAGGTAGTGGTAATGCATAGGGCTAGCAGGGTGACCCTAGAAGTGTTGGGTCGCCTCACTACTGTTAGGCGTTAGCAGCATGTATGGAGGTGTAAGCTGTGCAGCAGCAGCGAGGGAGGAGATTGTGTTTTCTTCATTGCCTTGTTGCAAAGGTCGCAGCAGACTACGGCTGAAATAGTCACCGTGTACCATGGATGCAAGACGGGCCACGATGGCGGCGTCACGGGCGTCCAGGCGTCAGACGGTCGAGGCGAGGGCGTGTGTCAGCGGATCGAGGCGTTTGCGAGGGCGGCGTGCACATGGTCGCGGCCTCACACGGCATGCGGGGCTATGCGACGGAGGCATGGCGCAACGTCCGGTCACTTCTTGAGCCCACTAAAAGAAACTTCTAGCGAATGTGGCAGCGTGCAGGCACCGGTTCGCATGATGCCACGGCCGCTCTCCCGCTGTCGCTCCACGGCAATGGTAGGGCTGCCATTGCATTGCGCCCGCTGAGGGCGTTCGTTGTTGCACCCCCAAAGCACCGTCGCATGTGCACTGCCCCTGCATGTATGCCTACTTACCATCTATCGTACATACTAGTCCTACTATACAAGCCGCAGTATAGCATACCATGCCGTACATAATTGGCCATGGGCAATCAGAGCATTCGCGCCCAAGGCCCATGTCTGATTGCATCCTGGTCGAGACCTGCGGACAGTACCCCCATGACGTCAACCGGGTGCTGAGTTCCAGCATCTGGGCAGTCGAGAACCCAACCCTGTCTTCTGACGCGATCCGCTCTCCATGACACTTGACGTCGTCTGCCTCGCTGCCTCGCTGCCTCTCTGCCTCTCCTGCTCTCTCTCTCTTATTACCCCGCCGGCGTCTGCTATCCCACCACAAGTACCAGCATTGCCCATCTCCCACCGTGTACCTGCGTGGGCTGATCCCCTTCCTTTTCACCAATCGACCACGACGCGCAATCCATCGACTGGGGGCTGCCTTTCACAGTCACATCAGCAGCGCCTTGTAGCCGCTGGCTGAGTAATAGCCAAGCATCACATTTCCTGGCCGACAGTCACTGCCCGCAACAAATACCGTTTTGCGCCCACTTCCGCCTTGACCACAACTTACCCCACTACTCACCCTTCAACCACTTTCCCCCTCCCCCGCCGCACCCATGTCCGTCATCTACAAGAAGACGGAGCGCGAGCGCGAATGGGAGACCGGCTCATCGCGCAATGGCGGTGGTGGCTACACCACGGTCAGGCGCTACAAACTCCCTGATCGCACCCTCGAGGAAGACACATACGAGTCCGAGATGCGGCTGGTCCAGCGCAGCCGTAACGACTTTGACGACCATCGCTCCGTCAAGGACTACGTTATTGAGCGAAGCGTTGAGCCTGTTCGCGAAGTCAGACACTACCACTATGCCGAACGTTCGCCCTCACCACAGCGATCCGAGTATCGCATCCACCGCGAGTATGAGCGTGAGTACGAGCGCGCGCCCTCTCCAGCACGCACTGAGATCCGCATCTCGCGGGAATATGAGCGCGACGAGGAAATCTTCCCCCGGGAGCAGCCCTACGAGTTGGAAAAGTATTCCAGGTCCACCGAGTATTTCCGTCCTGAACCGCAGCCGCAGCCGCAGGCCCCTCCCCAGTCCATCTACATCCGCAATGAAGCCGCTCAGCCTATGCAGATGCAGATGCAGCCTATTATTATCCGAGAGGAGGCCCCTCAGCCCATCATCATTCGTGAGCGTGTTCCGGAACCCGTGTATGAAGAGGAAAGACCGGTTGTTCGACAGCAACAAGAGCAGGACTACTACTATGAACGTCGATACAAAGAGATTGACCGTGGAAACCGTCACGATGAGGAACAGAACTACTACAGCGACGATGACGTGTATTATTACAAAACCAAGGATACCTGGGGTGGAAGCGAGACCCGCGTCAAACGTGACGTCGCTGCAGGTGCCCTTGCTGGCGTCGCTGCTGGCCAGATTATCAGGCATCACCGCAAGAGAAAGGGTGAAGCACCTGGCGGCTCCATTGGTAATGCCCTTGGCTATGGCACGCTAGGTGCCGTGAGTGCCGTAGCTCTCGACAGGTTCAACAACCGTTCCCGCTCTCGTTCTCGATCTGTCTCTTTGGACAGGGGTAGAGAGCACCGACGCCATAAGTCTCGTCATCGCAGCAAATCCCGTCACCGTAGTAAATCCAGGGCCAGAGAGCTTGGTACTCTTGCCGCTATCGCAGGTGTCGGAGCTCTTGCCTACGCTGCTGGACAAAGGAACAAAGCGAAGACGAAAGAAGAGACGGTCACAATCATAGAAGATCGACACCGCAGCAGGTCGCGTCATAGGAGCAAGTCGCGCCATAGGAGGGGCCGAAGAAAGTCGAGGTCCGTCTCGGTGGTATCAGACAGGAGTAGGTCTCGTAGTACGAGCAAGCACATGGACCCCGAGCACCGCAACAAGCGAGTGGCAGAAGTTGGCCTAGCTAGTGCTGTTCTCGCCGGCCTCGCTGAACGCCGGCGTAGCAAATCCCGGAAGCGTGAGGGAAAGCGCTCTCCAAGCCGCATTCGACAGGGTGTACCGATCGCTGCCGCCGGTGTTACTGGCGCAGCTATCACTGGACTCTATGAGAAACGTAAGGCTAAGAAGGAAGCTAGGGAAGCATCGCGCTCGAGGTCAAGGTCGCGTTCCAGATCGAGGTCAGTCCTCTCCCGTCTTACCGGGCGCAGCCGTAGTAGGCGTCAAAGTACAGTGAGTGAACCAGTCTTAGTAGAGTACGGCGGTGATCCGATCTACACCGATCGCCCAGCGAGAAGTCGAAGCCGTAGCCGCAGCCGTAGCCGCAGTCGTGACCGAACCCGCTCGCGCCGTAGACGTCGACGAAGCTCTTCTTCTTCTTCGGGCGGTAAGAGCCGGAGCCGGAGTAAGAGTCGGGCACGGGCGGTTGCAGAGACGGCAGCAGTTGCTGGCGTTGCCGGTTTAGCTGCTCATGAGGCGACAAAGAGACGAGATCGTAAGAAGGCCGAAAAGGAAGCCGAAAGACGACGTGAGTCCACCCTTCGCCCATATCGGAACTAGTTTGCTCAGAAATCAACAGGCGAGGAGGATTCGGCATACTCGACTGGGACCTACGACAGTCCCTACGGGAGCCCTACCGCATCTACAGCCTACACCAATGATTCACGATACTTCCCTGAGACGAACTATTTCCCTCCACCTCCTAACGCACCCGCCGTCGATCCCAACGCTCACAGCCCTTACCCACCCTACAATCCAGCTGACTACCCCCCTCCACCTAACAACGCTTACGAACCCAACCACCCTTCACAATACATCCATCCGCCTCATAGCGATGTCCATGTCGGAAACCCTTATGCTCCTCCTCCTCAACAACAACACGATGCTTACTATGGCCAACCCCGTCGTACGGACGGTAATGTGAGTGCTCCAGCCCCTAACCATATTGGTAACAAGCACAAAAACTTCGCTTCTGCACGTGGTGGGTTTAGGACGCTGCCAGCCGGTAGTGCTGAACATCATTGCTGATACCTGAATAGGGCCCGTAGAGAAGTCTCGCAGTCCTAGTCCAGCTCTTCCGACTCCACCACCCCCGGAAGAAGAGAAGAGTGTCAAGTTCAATCTAGAGCCGCAGGAGGAGCCTGCTCGGGAACCTTCTCGAGAGCCTTCTCCTGAGGGTGACGACAGCGACCAGGAACATCGTGGGCACAGAAGACGGAGGCGACATCGAGACGATGATAACTCACAAAGTTCGAGGGAATCTGGCAGGAGTCGTAAGAGACACCACCGAGACGAATCTCCTGGATCTGATGCATCTGATGAGACAATTGAGCTGCCACCACGCTTCGACGAGAATGGGCGGAAGAGGCCTGAGGATCCGCTGGCTGATACTTTGGAGAGCGTTTTGGCTTCGATATTCCGATAGTGTTTTGTTGGTTTCACGTCTTAATACCTTTCTTTGGATACCAGATTTTTCATTTTAATGACTGTTATGATGGGCTTTCGGTATGTCTATGATGATGTTTTTTGACGATTCTTTTATGTTTTGCGTCCGCTTGATGGTAATGAAGTCACGACACTTTGTAGACTTATATAGCATTGATATACCTGAGGATGAATAACACTTTGTTTGTATTTGTTAGATTCTTGATATTGTTATCTCTCTACAAGCCCGGGAATTGAAGTCAAGGAACGATCAGTTTCATCCACAAGCGTCAGGTACACCTTTGTGCAGTCAATTGCTTCGTCGTTGATATGCTATGTTTATGTTACTGTATGTTATGGCAGTGTGAGGTTGCAGGTAGCATTGATGGCTTCCAGTGCGTGCCTTCCCAAGCAAAGCGTCGTTACTGCTTCGAACAAATATTCCACCTCAACACATTTGCAAACCTTGCCTTCTCAACCTCTCTCACTGTTTTCCTCGATCCTTCCTCTCCTTGCACTTCCATTCTCTGCTTGACGCTCGATCCAACCCGCCACCATGTTCTTCCGCCACTACTACTCTCTCTTCCTCACCCTCCTAATGACCCTATGCCTCGCCTCATCCACTCCGTCGCCTTTCCCATGTACTGGGTACATTTTCCCTACCCATCCTCCAACATCTTTTTACTAACAGCAAACAGCGGCTCTATATACTTCACCGCCCACACCGTCGACAGCCTACTCTTCCAAAACCCGGACGTCCTTCATGATCTGTTCGTATTCAAGTGCGTTACTACGGTCGCGTTCAATGCGGATACGGGAGGTGAGGCGAGGAATGATACGAGGAGGGAAGAGCTGGAGTATGGATTAGGAAGGTCATATGAGATTATGTCTAGCGCGTCGTTGAGGGGAGGAGGGGGCAGTGGTGTGGATAAGTTGGAAGGAACACCCGCAGGTAAATCACCTCAGAGACTGATTTCCTGACTGATACTAACCTGGACAATACAGTTCACAACAACACGACGATTCGACTCGGCAAACACGATATCGCTGCTTCGCCTCTTCTGGGTCTATCCAATGTCCAAATCCTCTTTCTTCGTCTACCAGACAGCACGTATTACGGTCAGGGATATAGTGCCTACCGAGAGCAGTCGTTGAAAATGCTATACAGCGCAGACATTTCTCACATCGTTGCCACCGACGGAGCTGCTACGTATACTATCAGAGATTTAAAAGAGATCATCGCCGCCATCCTTCGTGAGAGGCGTGCAGACGAAATCCACGTCCTGAATTACCTGGCGTCTCTCTCGACTGGCCAAGACGACTATCAACTCGAACATGCCGACCGTATCATATCTGCCAAGCTCGTCATGGATGTTGTCAAGGAGGAGGGTATTGAGGCAAGAGTTGTAGCGTAAGTTCTTACTCGAGTTCATCGGGATGTGCGCTAAAAATGGTAGACACGGCTGTGACGAAGTTCGCAATCAGGAGGTCAATCTCAACACTCCTGATTACATCAACAAGGTCAATGCCTTTTTCGAATACGCCAAGTACGATCCTGACATGGTAAGCCTTGCTTGTCATGTGTTGTTCACGTTGCAACACTCATATCGGCTCCATGCTAACATGTAGATAGTGTCAGAGTGTCGATGAGTGTGGAGAGCGGCTCTCAAACGCAGATACGTCCACTAGTGGCTACAATGAGTTCGATTACATCTATGAGTTCCTAAAGCGAGAGTACTACGTCATTTAGTGTTATTCCGCAATACGTAAGGTGGACAGCGATGATTCACTTTTGAAACATACTCACATACAACATTATTGATAGATCACATTACCAGAGTAGAGTATATCTCAGATGTTGGCAAAAGTCAAAGTAGAGGTGCTAAGCGATGTATACCACAAATGAAATCAAATATCCCTTTATTGATCCTTTGGAAAAAAGAAAAGAAAAGTAAATACATATACAAAAAAGATTATACGCTAAATGTCTCCTTCTCCCTTACTCATCCTCGTTGTTCTTCCAGCCCATCTTGCGCTTGGTATCAAACTCATTCTGAGTCAACCTCCTAGCCGGAGGCGTGTGGCCCTTGGAAGGAGACCTGGGCGGGGTAATCGTCGCACCCTCATCCTCTTCAGGCTCCCACGCCCGTCGCTTGGCCAGCATAGCCTCGAGCTGCGGGTCCCTGCCATCACGGTTGGGAACTGGAGGAGGCGGTCCCTTGCGCGACACACTTGGCTTCCTGAGCGGGAGCGCCGGCCTGGCGTTCTCCATAGCACTAGGAACGGGCTTGACCTGGCCCTTGATTTCACGTACGATGGGCACGTCGGAGACGGGGATGGCGCCACCGAGGCGGACCATGGGGGCCGGTGTGGTTGGGGCGATGGGCTTCGCGGGGGTGATGGGCGTCTCGGGGATGTCCTGGGATTCGTGGACGGGGACGGCTCGGCTTCCCAGGCGGAAACGACCGATTTTTTGGTCGCCGACGGCGGGGAGCGAGTAGTTGATTTCTTTGGCTGGGGCCGCTGGCTTGGGGGCTGGAGGCGGTGGTGGTGGGGCGCGAGCGGCAGGTTTGTTGACTGGGGATCGGGGAGCGGTGACGGGGAGAGGTGGTGGTGGTGGCGGTGAGGTGGCCTTTCTGGTGGGAGGAGTGGCGGGTGGTGAGGGAGGCGAGGATGACTTTTGAGGGTAGTTTGAGTTGTTGTTGTTGTGGTTGCTGCTGCTGTTGTTGTTGTGGCTGTTATTGTAGCTACTGCTGTGGTTGTTGCCGCTGCTGTGGTTGTTTACGGTTGTGGTTGTGGTAGTCCGCGATGTGCTTTCAATCCAGGACTCGATACGGCCACCACTTTGTTCTCGTGATCCTGATGACATCTATAGAAAAAGCGGCATGTTAGTAAAATATTTAAAACACTTGTCATATAAGCGAGGCGTAGTTTGAAGTGCAAATTCTTCACTTACCTGATCCTCTTGATAACTCCTCTCCGAGCGTATTAGTCTAGCAGATTCAGCCAGAGCTCGCTGTATTTCCTCCTCTTCTTCCCGTTCTCTCCGTTCAGCCTCTTCTCGTGACTTTGCCATCATGTACTCCATGTCTTTGTCCATTTGCAGTTGGATCTGTCGCTCATACTCTTCTTTACTTTTCCTTTCCACTTCCCTAGTACGTTCCTCGGATGCCCATTTTTGCCTCTCGTGTGCCCTTTGAGCCTCTTCGCGGCGTTTCTTCTCAGCAAGTCGCTCCTCTTCTTGTCGATGTCCCCTTTCAAGGACCTCTCGTTCTCCACGGCGCAACTCTTCCTCCCGCTCCTTGGCTTCTCGGCGACGCTGCTCGTCGTATTTCTTTTGTTCACGCTCTATCGCCTCTTCCTCCCTCTTGCGAGCTACGCTGAGACATCGGTTGCATATGCCTTCACGGTCCCAGGTCTTGATAGTGAATCGGTCTTTGTTGTTCGGGTTGTCGCGGTCACAGTGGAGATTGCTTCTTTGGAAGTATGGGCATCCGTATGTGTCGACGTGGTCCTCTTGCGGGTGCCCGCATTCGAGCGTAGCGATTGTGAACCTGCACATGCTCGGTGTATATAGGAATGGGGATGGGAGGTGGGCGGGCAAATGTGTACAAGGTGGGATTATTAATGTGCAAGTGCGGTGCTATAAGAGCGCCGTTAAGTAGATGCAGTGGAGAGTGAGAAGACAGGAACTGGAGGGCCTGCGAATCATCGACGAACGGTACTTATACATGCAAGATGTTGACCGCCATGGGTCTGCTAGTGAAGTGCGGTAAGAGCGATGGCCTTGTACACGTAGTAGCACAATGACTCTGAAACACGCCTCGAGAAAGTCGCATAGAAATCCTGCAGGCTCGAAGACGCCAAATCGGACACTACTTACAAACATGCGTACAACACATCAAACGGCTAGCATGTCCGCGCACAGCGCCGCGGGTGAGGCGAACAGCGGCCGATTGGCTATGGGCTGCAGCATCGTTCCACCGGTGACGGATTCAGAGGCATTTTACTGTGCGTTGCTTTGCCCACCGAATGTATCCTGAGGACGCTGCAGGCTCGCAAGGCGCACCCAGCGTTTGTAGTGGCAGACCCACTGGGCATCAGACGTGGTAGACCGCCAGAGGCACAATTCATTGGTCTCGCTCGTGCTAGGCAATGAACCGTCCCCGGCCCAAAACAGTCATAGCATCGGAAACTGCCAGCAAAGCCATGGCCCCGCAGCCTGTGAGGGCAGCCTGACCTAAGAAAAATGAAGCATCCGACTGTGTGGTGAGCATGAGCAGCATGGTCAGAAGCGACAGTGTCGGTGGAGCTTGCTACGTGGCGGGCTCAGCCGTAGTGGAGATGCATGCCTCGCCACAACAAGGGCAGCGAGCAGTGTGAATCGAGCAGCACGGCCTTTAGAGTCGTGGAGACCCGGGGAACACGCGATCGAGCAAAAACGTCGGGCATCAGGAAAACATGAAGCCGATACTGGCAAAGAAGTTGGCGATGACAGAGACAGATGCTCGTTCGGGCTGGTACTTGGTGGAGACTCCAGAGGCAGCCAATCAGAGCGGGTTGATTGCAATAATCCCTGCACGGCTTGGCACTCTCGACGAGCTTCATCGTTGACGACTTCAATCGCCGCCATCGCCTCCCGCCCGCAGTCACAACCCACCATGGCCTCAAGACTGGTACCCTTTGCCTGCCGAATTGCCCCACGCACTTCGCGACCGTTCCAGAGGGTTCAATGGCGGGCCTTCAGCGTCTCGCGCCCCGCGTGGAATGAGAGCGGCTCGCTCAACGTCGTATGTACTTTTTGCCCGCAACCGCCAGCGCTCACAGACAAGACGGGGAAGGGGCTAATTGCGTCTTTTGTAGCACCGCGACACGCCCGAGAACAACCCCAAGATTCCCTTCAAATTCACGGCGCAAAATGAGGAGCTCATCAAGGAAATCGTCTCCCGGTACCCCTCGCAATACAAGAAGGCAGCCGTCATGCCGCTTCTCGACCTCGGTCAGCGCCAGCACGGATTCTGCAGCATCAGCGTCATGAATGAGGTTGCGCGGATACTCGAAATGCCGCCCATGCGTGTATACGAAGTTGCCACTTTCTATACAATGTACAACCGGGATCCCGTGGGCAAGTACCACGTCCAGGTCTGCACAACTGTGAGTTTTCCTGGGCAATTGCGGAACATGGACAATTGAGAACATGGGCATTGATGTATCATTTTAGACTCCCTGTATGCTCTGCGACAGTGATGCCGTCATGAAGGCTTGCGAAGACACATTGGGTGTCCACCACGGCGAGACTACCCCAGACGGCCTCTTCACATTTACAGAGGTGGAATGCCTTGGTGCATGTGCGAATGCCCCCATGGTTCAGATCAACGACGACTACTATGAGGACCTTACATACGACTCGACTGTCAAGCTCCTCAAGGCTCTGAAGCACTCCGCCCAAGCGACAGGTGCTCAGTCCGGTGAGCTGCCATCGCCAGGTCCATTGAGCGGACGACAGTCGTGCGAGCCCGCCGGTGGCTTGACCTGCCTGACCAGCGAGCCATGGGGCAATGAGACTCTGAGGAAGGACGGTGCTTTGTAAAAAAAAGAGGAAAAGAGATAATGTAAATAATGCACCATCTTTCTTTCTCGCACATTCCAAGCAACAGTCTTGGGGTGGCTGATATTTCCAGCTACTTCGTGTAGACTATTTCAAATCGTTCAATAGCACGCATGTGTCACTTGGTTCCAATTGACTGATGATACTTGTACCTTGATATTCCCCTCGGCCTTGGCACACTTGACGTAATGGGCTTGACAATGGCTTGCACAAGTAGTACATCTATGTCTGCTCACACAGCAAATCAATACCAAATCAAAGAAACTACTGTCTTTAATGGTGCATAATACATTGGATTTCTTCTATTCGCAAGCGTATTCCTAACGCACACTCGAGGCTGTCATTTGTTGTACAGGTAGTATGCCATTTCGGTCCCATAATCAGTCGGGGCTCGAGATGCGTCTATGTGTAACGTAACCCATAGCCCTCCCCTCCTTGAAGTGCTGTCCATTTTTTTTGGGTAGAGAGAAATTAAAGGGGGGAGGACTTCAAAACAAGTTCGAAGATAGAAGAAAAAAAGTAGGTACAAGGTGCAGTTTGTAAACGATTCCAGTTCAAAAAAAAACGCCGTCGCTATATATCCATCGAGGGAGGGGGTGTTAAAAGATTTCCCCGAATCAAATCTCCAAGCCGCGCTGGTCCCAATGCAATGCTGATTTTCTTTTTTGGTAGTTTCCAGAATATTCGTAATCGGTTCTGCTTATCTTCATTCCCAAAGGTGGGTGGTTGTTCGTTTGGTCGTCAATGTATAACCGTCTATCCGGAGGGGTGCTTCGCAATGCGACGCTTGCATCATGTTGATGCTTAGAATCGTGTGTTCTTACAAAAAGCCCGAGTTCCATTTGCCCATGAGCAAATCTCGAGTCATTTCAAAGCTGAGCCAGCTGCTCGCCATGCTGGGCGCAACCTTGAGCAGATTAGGGACAATGCCCTTATACATGCCCCCGAGACCTTCTGTCTTGATAATCTGCTTGACAGCATCACCAACACCTGCGTACTGGTATCCCATGCCGCTCATAGTATTGATCTGGAATCTTCGTCGCAGGACGTCGAACGGATATGTAATGGTTTGCGCGACAGCACCAGAAACTGCACCGGCTGCCAGCTTGCCGAACGCACTGGGGTCTTTCTCGCCATCGCGTGTGAACTGAGTACGGGCCATTTCATAAACCATGAAGTTGAGGCCAACGTATGGTGCAACGCCAGCTACCGTAGGGATGATGCCGCGATATAGCGCCGGCATTCCGCCCTCGGTTTTGTACATGTTCACGAGGAGTGCCCACATACCCGGTAGTTTCTGGCCGGCCTCTTTCTTGAGGCTTGAGAAGGATGCAGACTGAATCGACAACCGCGTGCGGACGATATCGAGCGGATACGTAAAGGTAACAGAGGTGATACCGGCAAGACCTCCACAGAGTAATCGTTGGTAAGCATCGAGCGGTGCACCCGGCTCACTCTCAAAGAACTAGTACAGGTCAGCTGTCGCAATTAGGGAGGTTGCGCCAGTGTTCATTGTCCTTGTGCGACTTTCCCAATTCTCTCCTCTTCGTCAGCCACGATACCTACGTCAGCCCTCCGCCAACTTAACCTACCCAGTCTCCATTCCATGTGCGTCTGATCCCCTCATTCCACCAGTTCAAAAAGCAAGTCGCTCGCCGGAAAACAAAGCAAATAGCAGAAATTCCAAGGATTCACTTACCCGTTTGTAGACGTTGTATGCACTGAATTGCACAGCAGAGTATGGAACAATGCGTATGCAGTTTGTGCCATTTCCGGCCATGAAGCCTCTCCAGCCCTCTTCCCTCCACATCTTGGCCAGAGCCTTGGGCACTGACATTTTGTATTCCTCGCGACCGACACTCTGGACTTGGAACAGGATCTTGAGGCGTTCGAGGGGGGAGACGACGGTCCGGGAGACTGCGCCAGCCACGCCGCCTGCAACAAACGAGGCTAGGACCGGCTGCGCAAAGACCTGTCGAATGCGCTGTAGGCTTGTGATGTCGGGCGTGCCGAGAGGCTGCATGTACGTGTCAATTAAAGTGTTGAGGGTACGGACTGCGCTGGTACATACTTTTATGCCGTTTCCTGGCTCATCGCTCATGATGGCGGCCCCCTGTGGTTGCGGCTTTTCCGTGGATTTGGACATGGTGTAAGTCTAGGCTGGTCGGAGTATTGCACTGGTGGTAGGCGGAGCGAGTCTGGTGCTGCCGGAGTAAAGGCAGGATTCTATCGAAGCAAAGAAAAGGCCGCGCGACGTGATTTCGAGGTCATCGGAGGTGACTGTTTCGGAGATGTAGACGGTTTTCTCGCAGTGAGGCGGGCGGGTACGGTCAATTCGCGGTGAATCCGATCTTCCATGCAAGGCAGTTAGACGGTGACTGTTTGCACTCCGGGGTGCGCGTGTCTCATGGGTCCTGGGGCGCAAATGAGGTTGCGGTGTTTGAATGGGCTGGATGTGGAGATTTGAGGACAGCGGGAGGACGAGGCAGATTTTAGTCTAGCGCGCCGCGAGCCAACGAATGTTGTCCGCAACGCCTTTATAAACGACCACGGTACTCGCTGACAGCCCCGTCCGGTACTTCGCGATGTCATACTTGGCTCAGACTGACATCTCTTGTCCTTTTCTGGTCGCAACATGTTTGCCGTGTTCCGCTGCCAACAAGCTACAGGTGCAGCGCATGCCTTTCACCGAGTCAATCGGACTCGGATGGCATCAAATTGCATCATGTCGCACAGTCTTGGGACGTGGAAACCACACACACACGCTCCCATCGTAGGCTAGCCAGGGGAGGACACAAGAGCATTCTAGAAGAATCCGGCCTTTCGCCTCACCACCCCTTACTAGGGCGTCGCAGTCAGCTGGGCACCACATCACCCCTTTCAGTCAGCCGCCATTGAAGCCACATATGGTCGTTTGCACGCGTCCTGTCTCGTGTCCTTTTGCTGTGCCTGCCCGGCAATGTGAGCCTCCGTTGATCCTTATGATGCTGAACAGGTAGTAGTGGTGGTTTACCCTGTGCCCGGAACGCTCCTACTAGTACTCCGGTATGACTACTATGACGGCGTATCAAGGCTTTTGCTCCAAGGGCCACACGACCCAAGACCAAGCTGGGAAAGTCTGGTGTGGAGAATACAGGAGATAGCGGGGTAGTACACGCATCGGCCGTGGAAGGAATTCCGTCATGGCTTGAATATCCCGAGGTCGACCTGGAGGATGCGATAATATCTCGGGTGGTTGGATGCGAGCGGCGCAGCCACAAATCCCGGCTGTGCTTAGAGGGACCAAGATAGATTCTAGACAAAGTGTTTAGTTGTATTCAATCGTACGGCCTCTACTAATCGTATCCTGATGAATGTGAATCGATCTGGAGCTGGTGTGCTGTGTGATGTTGAGACTGTCGAGGTACCATGCCTGTTATCGATAAGTAGTAGCCATATGAGATTATCTTGCCCGCAAAGAGCGAGATGTGAAATTCTTCCTCTGCGTCTTTACAATGTTATCGCGCCGCCTCTTTCGGCAAATTACTGATAGCTTACTATTGGGTTCTCGTGTTTATCCAGAAGCCACCGTGTGTTTTGCTTCGGCGTGTTCAACATGTAGCTCTCGTACTCATATTTTTGCACAATCAATACGTCACTCGTCCTCGTCCTCAACCAGATGGAAGTCGCGACAGGGCAGGGACTTTTTTGCCAAGGAAGCACGAGTTCAAGGCCTGAAGAGCCGTGCTGCCTTCAAGCTGCTTGAGGTGGGAGCGCATCACGGCAAAGACTGGGCAGTGACTAACATATCACAGCTCAACGACAAACACAAGCTATTTAAACCTGGGCAAACAGTTGTTGACTTGGTAGGTCTGCCCTTTGCATTGATGATTGAAAGTTAACGTCACCAGGGATATGCACCAGGGTCGTGGTCTCAGGTTTGTTAATGGAGTTTCTTTCTTTTGGCATCATCTCACGCTGATCAGGTCGCCGTGAATCGCACATCTCCAGACGGGCGAGTCATTGGCATCGATCTCATACCCGCCCAGCCTCCTCGAGGTGTTTCAACTATTCAAGGCGATTTCCTATCACCTATTATTCAAGACCAAGTGCGAGCATATGTTCGAGATACAGATCTTGGTCGGCCTAGGAGACAGGTTTCTTCGAGCACAAGCGAAGGACTCACTGAGGAAGAGCTAGATGAAATGCAGCGGGGTTACATTGAGATCGAACGTCAGGCACATTTGGATGGTGCAGACCCTGAAGCGATTGGACGGCCACTCGAGGACTCGGATGGCGACAACCCAATCTCGACCAATCTGTCGCTCCAAGAGCGCGATACACAGCGGGGAAGAACAGTAGATGTGGTACTCAGTGATATGTCAGAACCCTGGGACCAAACTACCGGCTTCTACAAAAAGAGCCTTAGTGACCCTTATATTAGGATGATGAACACGAGCGGCAACGCTTTCAGAGACCACACGGGCAGCATGGTCAGTAGTGCTCCTCTGAGCTGCAAATAGACTATTGACTGGGGCAGGATCTGTGCATGGCAGCTCTGATGTTTGCCTTTGACACATTAAAGACTAACGGCCACTTTCTCTGCAAGTACTACAAAGGGGCCGAGGAGAAGGCTTTTGAGATGAAACTTAAGCGTCTCTTTACCAAAGTACATCGGGAAAAGCCCGAGTCGTCACGGGCTGTATGCAACCTTGAGATCTTTGTGTTCAATGCTGACAGCTGCAGGAATCCAGAGAGGCGTACTTTGTGGCACTGCGTCGCAAAGAGACACCGATCAAAGAGGACGTCTTCGGCGAATGATGACTTGGACGGTGCTTGTCTGTTCCAGCGATACTATGTATATCCATACCTTCGGTCCGAAAGCGTCACATACCAAAGTTCATCGGCCACATGGGTGTATGATAGGCGCTGTATGAAGTGTGGGGAAGGTCGGCTCCAGGTTTATCAGAGACACTCTCTTGTCTACAGGATGTGTGATGCGCCAGGGTTGGCCAGGAACCATAAAACTGGCGCTGGACTCAGGCTGAGTGAATGCAAGATCAAGTCAGCCACCAAGAAGCCCGAGTATGTGATACAAGTGATGCAACGATTACTCGGTCAGGGTCAGCGCGGATCTGGCTTTCCATGTCGGAGCCGTGTCCCGTTCCTGGTCCCAGGGAACAGGCACATGGATGGCAGGCAGGAGTTAATATGGACAGATCTAATAACGGATAGGACCCGGTGCTAACTGCAGCCGGCCATACCTGGTGACTGTTCTGGACGCGTCTCGTCGCATTTCGGACGATATGTCAAGCATTTTTGTGGGCCTTGTGGACAGGGGTGTCAGAGTCTGAGGATGCTCGTGGCGCTGCGTCATGGCGTGCTTGCATTGCTGATCCTGACGGTCGCATACTGGGACCAGAGGGGTGAGGGGGAAGCGTTCTCTGTGGTCTCCTTCTCGAGTGCTTTTGCGGGTGCTGTTCCTTGCGCGCGCGCCTCGAGGGAGGCGGCTCGAGGCAACGCTTTGATGTCGGGCCTGACCCGCTCGGCTGGCCCAAGGGCTGGCTTCGAAGGCTTCTAGAGCCGAATCCTAACCTTATCACGAACCGCACTTTCTTCCCATCAACCCACCGATCAATCTAATCCGAGCTGTGCGACGTGGCCAATGAGTGCCGGAGATGGATTTCAATAACCCTAATGCGTACGGCGGCCAGTTTGCCAATTCCCCGCAACACGCCCAGTTTGATCCACAGGCGCGCCTCCAGCAGCAACCAAACGCTCCAGGCCAGTATGCCCAGCACGCCCCGTTCGCCGGCATGGGTGGCGCCATGGGAAATAGTGTCATGCCGTCTGGAGCCCCATATCTCCAGCAGCGAGGTAAGCCAGTGTAGATTGATTGATTGTGCACGATCTGCCTTTTCGCCTTTGGTCTGACACCATGCCGCAGCTGCCCTCCAACCGCAACCACAGCAGCAGCAACAGCAACAACACCAGCTGTCGTCGCCTAGCCCATACTCGAGCGCGCCCTTCGCGCAGCCCATGCCCTCGCCTGCTCACCAGCAACAGTTTGCGCAGAACCGCCAGACTGCCTCGCCCGCAAGCGTCACCGGACAGCCGCCCTTTGCGACCCCCCAGCCCCAGCCCTCGCCCGGCACCTTGCCTACAAACGGCCACCAGACACCCATGAATCTCCAGCTACCCATCAAGTCGGAGCCGCTTCAGCTGCAGACGCCCGTCAAGGCAGTGCCCCCGTCGCCCATGTCGCCCAGCAATCCGGCGCGTAGTCAGGACCGCGTCGCGACGCTCCTCGAGATCAACAGCATACTCATCAAGGAGGTGTGCGATCTGCAGGCACAGGGCAAGGCGGGTCATGTAGGACCCACGCCTGAGGGCAAGCCCGAGGGCGAGAAAGCGCAGCCGTCCAAGGAGTACGTAGAGTATGTACTTCCCCCCCCCCCCCGTTGTTGTGATTACTCATTGTTCGCGTCGCCATAGTCCCGTCTGGCCGCAAAACCAAGCTAACGAAACCTACCTACACAGCTACATGCGACGCCTACAAGCCAACCTAGCCTACCTCGCCCAAAACGCCGAAAAAGTGCCCAAACCAGGCCAACAAATGCAACCGGGACCTGCCATCATGTCTGTTCCCCCTTCGCATGCAGACCTCGCCAAGCTCTACACCAAGCTCCAAGAACTATTCCCCGGTTGGAAGGGCCAGTCAGCCCAGATGAAACAATCCCCGGGCCCACAACGCGTCGCTTCGAATCCCGGTCCACAGCAACTTCAACAACAGCAACAACAACAACCGCCGAATAGTGCAGGCTTGCATCAGAGTTGGGGGCCAGGGGTTATGCAACAGAGCTTGCAGCTTGCGCAGCAACAGGCTCAGCAGCAGCAGCAACCACCAACATAAATCATGCTATTTTGGGATGAAAGCGGGATATAGAGGGGAGAGAGAGAGAGAGAAAGCGAGCAACCGTTGCATCGCGGGCGTATGGACGGGGCTTGGCTTGGATTTTGTATTATATATACCATTACCTTTTTTTACTTTTTTTCTTCTTCTTGTTTAACAGAAAGGGAAAAATTATTGTGTTTTTTTTTCAAAGACCAGGCGATTATGTATATCGGGACGCAGAGAGAGAGAGAGAGAGAGAGGTAGGAGGGACAACCGAGAATAACAGTGGGGGGGAAACCAGAGACTGGTTTCTTTCTTTTCTTTTCTTTTTTTGGGATAGCACTGGATTCGGCGTTGTTTTCTTCTTTTCTTTCATCTGGTTCTTGATAAATGGTTGATAAGGTAAGCCTATATGAGTTTGGGGGGGGGGGGGGGGCTGGCAATTTAAAAAAAAAAACACTTTTCAAAAAATTTGAATGACGGGTTGTTCTTGTCGCTATATGTACAGGTAGAAGGGCTGTTTTGTTTTTTTGTTAAGGAATATATGTAAAGTTACTAAATTTCATGATCGAGTGAGAAACAAGCAGAGAGTGGATTTTTTTCTTTCTTCTTCTTCTTCTTCTTCTTCTTCTTCTGTTGCTTTTTTGGGGGTGAAATTATACTTGGATGGTTACGTTTGTTGTGATTTGATAGGAACATGACATGTGGAAGGTACTTGGATACTAGAAAGTTATACATGTAGGACGCTTGGAAAGGAGAGGGAAAACAAAACGGGGTTTGTTGATAAAAAAAATACTCGTTTGTTTTCTCTTGGATTGTTGGAATACAAATATAGGAGGTAGGATCTATATACACCCATTGATTCTCTCGATATATGCAAGATGCCATCTCGATTTCTGACGGGAGAACCCCTTCTTTGTACATGCCTTCGCTCACAACTTAAATCCAGAAGGAAACGTTGCATCTCCAGTTAATTCATGTGCTAAGAACGAGGCACATCTACATTCATCGTCACTTGAATACACCAACATACACACATATATACACATCGTCACCAATGAAGCAATCAGAAGAAGCATGATATGTAAAAAAAAGATGATGTATGTATAAGGCGACGCCATAATGGTATGTACAAACGCCTTTTTGAGTTACACATATCCATCACCCTGAAACCGCCCCCACCCTCCCTTCATCAATCTCCTAGTTGTGTAAAAAAAAAGTGCAAGAAAAGTTAAAGTTTAAGAAGAAGAAGAAGACAAAGAGAAAAGAAAAGGTCTAATCTAACAAGAGAGAAAACCCTCTAATCTCTTTAGGAAGAACCAGCGTAGACCTTTCCGATGGGAGAAAGACCATCAGAGAGGTTAAGCTGGTTCTCACCGGTGCCAACCATGAACCATGAGTAGCCCTGGACATCATCTGAGGTATCGAGGTAGGCCATGCAGTCCTTGAGGAAGCTAGCGGCTTGCTCCTGAGTGGCGGAACCGGAGTTGAGGCCGAACTCGGTGATCCAGACCTTCTGGCCGTAGGTCTCGGCGGCCTGCTTGACGTGGGCAATGAAGCGGTCAATGGTCTTGTCGTCGTAGACGTCGTAGAAGTGGATGTTGGTAGCGTCGACCTTGGCGTCGGGGCAGGCGGTGTGGAAGCGCGAGAGCCAGTCGAGACCGAGAGGAGCCTGGCCGTTGCTGACGGAGGGACCGATGATGGTGACGTCGGGGTGAGCCTCCTTGACGGGGTTCATGTACTCCTTCCACGAAGAGCAGGCAGCTTCGGGGCTGAGGTTGCACTGAGCAGCAATGTCGCACTCGTTGAAACCCATGACGGCCTTGGAGCCCTTCTTGACGGCCTTGTCGACGTTTGCGAGCCATTCGTCGGCGGTGGAGTCGCTGGGCTTGTGCATCATGGGGATGAACATGGTGCCGATGTCGTTGTTCTCAGTCTGAGCCCAGTTGTAGCCGAAGCCGTAGCTGCTACCGAGGGTAGAGCAGAGCTCGGCGTTGTTGTAGGCAAGACCACGCTTGGTGCCAGAGTACATGTTTCCAAGGCCGGGAGTACCAGTGGGGAAGGCACCACCAACTGGGCTGCTGGCAGATGGGGTGGCTGAAGCGCTGTAGACAGGAGTCTCAGCAGGCTTGGATGGTGCTGGAGTCTCAGCTGGCTTGGATGGGGCAGGAGCCTCAGGAGTTTCGGCAGGGTACTCAGCAGGCTTGGATGAAGCAGAAGCCTCGGGGGTCTCGGCTGGGTACTCAGCAGGCTTGGAGGAAACAGCATACTCGGCGGGCTTGGATGGAGCAGCGTACTCAGCAGGCTTGGAAGGGGAAGCAGCAGCTGAGCTGGGAGGAGCAGCAGCACCGCCCCCGGGGGTGACAGTGACGGTGACCTTCTCCTTGGCAGTTACAGTGACGGTGGCACCGCAGCCGGGGGTAGTGGCGACATCGGCGACGTTGGCCTGTTGAACTCCAGGGTAAGGGGAGGGCTTGACGTAGACGGTCGTGTACGAGGTCTGGGTCGAGGTCGAAGTCGTGGCCAGAGTGGTGGTTGGCTCACCGTATATGGCACTACCAGTACCAGCGGGAACAGTGTTGTTGGAGGCACCCCATCCACCAGCAGGGTAGGCAGCGCGGTGGTGGAACTTCTCGTGCTGGAAGTGAGGGACGGCAGCGACAGAGCCAGCCAGAGCCAAAAGGCCGGTAATCTTGATCGAGGAAGACATGTTCGGTAGTTGTCGTTTTTTTTGTGGTTTGAAAACAAAAAAGTTGTTTGTTTGTTTATTTCAGGCGTTTGCACACGTGCTACTTTGAGGGTATCGATTGAGCAGTTAAAAGCAGATGCAGCTAACCTGAGCGCAAACAATGGATTGTTGACGTCGAGCAAGGAACGGGACTGTCAAGTGGGGGGACAAGAGAATGTACAGAGCAAAAGAATGCTCAAAAGGAATGGCAGGCAACAACCGAGTTTGTGCGAGCGAAGGAGTGAGGGTGAAGGAGGGGAAAAAGGTTGGGGGGATGCGGGTGGTTTTCACCTTATATTCGAGCGGGGGGCCAGATACGGACACTCGATGGTCGCGTAGGCATGCCCCCCCCCCCCCCGCCTAGTCTGCGCGGATTCGGAAGCATCAGACTTTTTTAGGTCAAGCAAATGTGCCAGGGGGTAGGTGGAAATAGGGTGCTTCAGCCAGTCACAGCACAGGAACAGCGTGAACGGCTAAGATGGTGGCTTACGTTCGCAAGCTAGCAAGCAGAGCTGGCGTGTTTCACGTAACCGCCACTCTCAGGTACACCCGCGCTCCCCATGGCAAAACAGGGGGGCCCAAAGAAGATGGTGTTTTCGTATACGGGGTTTCCGGGAGCGGTAAGTCCTGTCTGCACGCCGCAGGGGGGGGGGTGAGCTGTGAGTCTGCGATCTATAGTCTCAGGGCGCACAAAGACACCGGATGCGGTGCGCTGACTGTGTAGGAGTCTGACTGGCTGCATGTGGGTAAAGTAAAGGCATGTCGTCAAGCGGGCATGTGTTTGCTCCACTCGCAAGGTTGTGAGTGTGAATCCTTCAGCCTCCTGGCCCCGGCGAGCTGTTAGGGGCGGGGCCGCTCAGCGGCGGCGTGGAGGGATCGACCATTCTAGACACTGGCTTTCATCTCCGGACGTGTTGACGGCTCTGGATGTTTGACCATCTTGAATCAGAGATGACGAGTCGCGTCGGGCTGCTGGAGGGTGAATCTGGGGCCGGGTGTGAGGAGAGGGAGAGCAAGGCGGGCGGTGGCTGGACAGTGCGGCAGAGAGGCGCAGTGCAAGAAGAGTGTTGGTGACGAGGCGGGTTGAAGGGGCGAGTCAGGTTGGTTGGTAGGACTAGTAGAGATGGGGTGGGCATGTAACACTGCAGTCGGCCTGTCCCTTTGTCGTGCAGGTGGTGTGGTGTGTTGCGTCGTCAAGTTTGTACTTGTCGCTCGAGGAAACAGGCAAGAAGAGACGAGACGAGACGAGACGAGACGAGACGAGATGGAATCAGATGAGATGTGACATAACTAGTAGTAAAGGACTACTAACGTTGCCATGCACGACGTTTGCTCTCTCTCGTTGCTTGTTCCTACACCTGCCAGCAGCCAGCGCCGACACCTTGGCCACGCACACACCCTGTCCATATCGACACTCGATTAATTCCCTACACACGTCTGCGCCGACGTCATCATGCCTCGGACCCGCGCGCGCTTCGAAATCTCTGTCCTCATTCTCGCATCCAAGTTTTGCGCTCGAGAACGTTTCCCCCCAGTTTTCGGTTTTTTTCCTCGATCCCGTGTGGAGAAGGGGTCATCATTCGTCGTGGTTGTCGGGCTATCGATAAGCTGCAAGTTCCTGCATAAGCGCCCCCAACATGCTGCGAGAGGTCCGCTGCAAGCCCTCCAAAGTGCCGGGCCTGCGTATTATTGCATCTCGATGAATATTACCAAGTGACGGCCTGATGAGGCCTTCTCTTTCATTTCCCTGGCACGTATTCAACAATTACATGAGAAGAGAGGCCAAGCGGCCAAGCGCAGCGTTAGTAGCAGCAACCCCGGCGAGCGCCGAGCCACGTAATTGGCTCCACTTTTGTTGCAGTCTTTGCTTTGGCCGTTCTAGACAAAGCCGAACCTTTGCCCTGCCCTGCCCTGCCCTGCCTTGCCTATCCAACGCCTCCGCCGCGTGTCGACGTAACTCTGTCACCCTTACCATCTCCCGAAACAACGACGCCGCCGCCCAAATGTCGCAACCATGTCCGTCCTGCCCTTTCCGCCTTTTAACTTTGGCAATAGCGTCACATCGCCTTGTTCACCACCAAAAGCTTGTTTCCCCTTGCACTTAAGAGCTCCCAAGGTCCCATTCCGTCCAACGCCGTGCTTGGGATCCCTTGGCAATCGCCCTGCTCAGGAGGCCCTACTTGGCAAACCCGGCTCTTTTACTTCTTTGCTTGACTCGACTGTCGGTAATTACTAGTAAGTAGTACAAGACTGTCGAGACTGACGTCTGTGTGTGTGTGTGTGTGAAGGGGCTGAAAAAGAGAGTTTAATGCCAATCTTCGCAAATAGCCCATATTTTACCTTCTTCTACTACCTTCCTAACATCTGCCAATTCTCTAGCAAATACAGTAGCAAGACAAAAATAGTAAAGTCTCTAGTAGGCTAAACCGTGGGACTGGTAACTCAGTAACCCTAATACACGTATCTCACAAGGTAACATTGTTTTTGGTTTGGTTTTGTCGGTGTGTCTCGACAGTTTGTCGCCGGCATAGTTACTAGTACTCCGACCTCTGATCGACCATTGCTCTCTCTCGCCTCACAACTTCCGCAACTTTCCGAGAAAGAGTTCACTGCATTGCTCCTTTTTTCCAAGCACCTTTTATCGCACACAACTTTTCCCCTCATTCCGTATCCTCCCTTCCCCTTCACACACCCAATCGCTTCCCAGATCCTGTACCACCAGACACCCGTCTTTGCACCACGAATACCGCCTTTTGGGCAGACACGTCACTTTCCCCTCTACATCGCACGCTAGACAGTTGTCTGCTTTTCTCTTTTGTGCAGGCTGAAGTGTGCAGGGTGAGTAAGGTGGGTAGGTAGGAGGCGGATTTAACATGGTGCTGTAGACGGGTGTGGCACCTGTCGTGGTCGTAAGGGCGAAAAGGAGGAGAGTACCAAGGTAGTGAAACATGATAAATGAGTTCTTCCTTGAGAAAAGACGTATGGGGGGTTCAGTAAGTAGAAGGGTAGATGCGTGATTTCAATCTTTCAAGAACTCTATCGTGTATATCACTCATTTATATATTTTGACACAAAGAATCAACATCACACTTCATAGCCTGCAAACGCCAGACACCCCATGACTACCACGTAAACCAACTCCTCTTCACAATCCCTATACTCGTAAACACTGCCCATTCAAATCCGTATTTCCGCCGCTTTCCTAAGCCGATTCATCACCGCAGCAGCTATATCATCCCCAGACTTATCATCGATACCCTCGACATAAATAATCTCCACGCCCTTCTTGTCGAGATCCCTCAGTGCAGAAAAGAGTCCTCGTGCAATGTCCTCCGTGTTCGCGCCGAGGTTGATGTCCCAGACGTGTATACCCTCAGGCGATACAATATAATGGTCGGACTCGGGGATTTGGTGCTGGATAACCGATCGGAGGAGATTGGACTGGCGTGGCGAAGACATATCGGTGTTTACAGGAGCTTCAGCTTCTGCTTCCGGTTCCGAGCAACCCCATCCGTTTAGATTTGCCAACTGCACTTTCCGAGCATCCAGGCCCAACGCGAGTTTCCAATTCTTTGTCCTGACAATGCCAATCCGGCTCTTGCTTTTCAGTTCTTCAGGCGTAGGTTGCTCTGCGCCTGCTTCAAAAAGAAGAACAGACGCTTTAGGGCTATAGTGTCTGTACTTCATTCCTGGCGCTCGGGGTTTACTCGAGTCCTCTGCCTGCTTGTCCTTGTATCCTACCACCACATTCTCCCACCCGGGACATTGTCGCAGTTGTTCGACTGTTACACCGCCTGGTCGTAAAATCGCTGGTGGACTGGACAAGCCATCCACGACTGTACTTTCGACACCCACTTCGCATGGCCCACCGTCAATTATCCGTGTTATTTTACCGTTTAGGTCGTCGTAAACGTGCTCGGCGGCTGTGGGGGACGGACGGGTCGATGCGTTCGCAGAGGGCGCAGCAAGAGGGCGTCCACATAGTCGCAACAGAGATAAGGCGATGATGGATCGTGGCATTCGTGCACCAAATGTCGAAAGGCCTGCCGTGACCTCTGGCGCGAGGATCGAAGTCCTTGGAGTCGGGAGGATGAGGGTGAGAGGACCAGGCCAGAATCGCTCAATCAGTGGTCTGTAGATCTCTGGTATGGGGTCCTTGCCATTGATCTTCCCATCGCCTGTGGCTTCCAGCTTCCCTGACAGTAGTGCACGAAGTTGTGGTAAAGAGTGTACATGAACAATCAGTGGGTTATCGGCCGGTCGCCCCTTGCGAGCAAAGATTTCTTTTACAGCCGCGCTTCGTGTCGCATCTGCTCCCAGTCCATACACTGTCTCGGTAGGGAATGCAACGGGTACATCCGTCTCCACCAGATCGCGAGCCGCTGCTTTGAGATTACCGAAATGATCATCAGCACTCGCTGACTCGTCATATTCAATATGCCAGTCGTCGATCAAGTCTTCCGTCTTTTTGAATGTAATCTTCCCCAACTTTTGGGGGTCCACCGGCTGAATCTTGGTCTCCGACATGGTTGCGATCAACTGCTTGTGCGTCGGCGGGGCGCTGGTAGTATTGGGCCTGGCAGATTCAAATATCTTTGCGCTGGAGAATACGATGGCCTTTCTCAGCGCGGTATATGCGTTACAATGGGGCGGTCGTGTAGCGGCTTGCGCCAGACGACGTATTGGAGTGTTATATGAAAAGACTTTCTTGGGCTTGACATTTGGTATGCGGGGAGTGCGCGTGGGCATAAAGGTGATGACTGGAGAGCGATGCCAAAATTTCTCGGAACGCAGTGGGGCATCAGTTCCGATCCTGGCGCGTGATGTCACAAACTTGAGCCAAAGACCAACTTTCAACTTTAACTTTGTTTCTCATATTACTTGTCATATATACATTTGAAGTGCTAGTTCTGATTCCTAAATTATTCATATATTACGTTCCATACGTGTTCAATGCTTCTTCCCAGCAGTCTCATTGAGCCTCATCCGTATAGTAGTAGACCTTGCCTTCGAATATACGCCGGGCTGTCCGAGAAACGGCACACCTGTCAACGTACGCGAACGATTCTGAGCTTGTACACAAGACATCGACACTGATTTGTCCACTCGGGTGGGCAAGAGTAACGGTCTGTTGTTTCGGCAGTAGGTCGGATGAGCTCTCGTCCGAATCTGAGCATGGGCTTGGTGTACGCTCGGGCGTTGATTGCCACGAAGACTGTACTCTAGCACCCTCCGCGAGTTCGTGTGCAATTGTTCCTTGTATGCATACCGCTGATGCTAGGCATGCCGCGCCTGTAAGCTGCAGACTCGGGTGAGGCTTTCCCATGCTGAACGCCTGGACGTGAACGTCTGGAGTTCCGGGTGGACCACCTGATTGTGGAGACGATAGGATGGCCAACTTTGGCGTACCTCGAACCTTTGCCGCTGCAGTTACGTCCGAGGCGAGGCCCATCATCACAGCACCAACACGCCGAATAGACTCCATTTGCTCGAGATAGCTTGCTGAGTCTTTGCTTGCAGTCTTGAGATTTGACGGTAGTGTCCTTTCGTCGACGAGGATAAAGGGATTGGCGGCATCGATCAAAGTTGCCTTGACCGAAAACCGTTGACCATCATTCCCCTTGACATCGATGGTGTCGCAGCGATTGCCAGTGGGGAACAGCTTTCCGGTCATACTACCCGCAGGCTCGACGAAAGCAACCTTTACTTCGCTACCAGTTCCCTTGACTCCAGGAATTGCGTAGTCACCAGACTCCTCATAGGATCCGTCTTCATCGACTTGAACAGTGTCAACAATGACCCGTGATGTGTTTGTGTTAAATATCCGGACATCAAGCTAGATTGCGAATCAGCATCGAACCCTGAATTTCGGATCGATTAACTTACAGTTCGCTCCCCGGGAGTAGCACGAACCAAACCTTCTTGAAGAGCAAATGGCCCAACACCTGAGCACATGTTTCCACAGTTGCCGCTAAAGTCTACTGATTCTTGTCCTACAGCGACCTGTACAAACGTATAATCCACATCAATGCCCACTCTTGTTGATGGTGATACAACAGCAACCTTTGATGTTGTCGATGTTGCTCCACCTACACCATCAATCTGCCGAGCATCTGAACCTTGCGAGCCCATAGCCGCGAGTAGCGGCTTTACCCAGTCCTTCTCTGAAGCTGGCAAGTCATGGCGGTGGATGAATAGACCCTTGGAGGTACCCGCACGCATTAGCACAGCGGGTAAGCTGCGTCGGACCCTTTTCGGAGCTCTTTCGTACGCCATTGGAAGATCTGGTAAGCGTATGGGTAGAATGTGAGATACAGTTGAGAGTCTTGCTTTTTGAGTACTTGATAATGTAGAGAGTGATCGAAACATCTACACTAACTGTACGCGAAGACGTAAATAGATGTCTCCGTCGGTATGAAATCAGAGGATTTTATATCCAGTAGTCTCAAAAGAGGGTACATCCCATATATAACTATGGAATCCACCACGAAGATTTTGATGACCATTGATGGGCATGATACTTCTCATCCTTGCACCGACTCCCGCGGGAGGTTTTGATGTGAGGTAAAGCCGCGGGAAGAAAAGGCCGAAGTTTTGCCGCGGCCACGAAACACGGTGGCGCAGCAAGTCTTTGCAAGAAATCTAGCCAACTGACATCCTACTTACATATCCCAATCCAGGTTCGGAAATCGGTCCAATTCCGAGCTGTTAAAGCCATAGAGGAGATCGTCCACAGTAAAGGTGTTTTCACCGAATAACGGTTGCTGCTGGCCTTGAAACATCCAGCTGCCGTTATTATCGTACGCAATATTGCCGCCGTCATTTTGTCCATTGTAGGATGTCGCCCCTGGCATTCCAGGCATTCCAGGCATAGAATTTGACCATTGTGATTGTACAGGTAAATTTGCATGTGGAAGATTAGCATTGCCGCTTGCATTCGTTTGCACGGGAAGAGCGTTTTCTTGTTCTCGCTCTCTAACAAAGCTTTGGATAATACCATCGATATCGATGCTTTTCAAGCTGGGCTCGCGGCCTACAGAACTACCAGCTGTTGTATCTGGGGTACTGCTCTGACCCCTGTTGTCAGTATCCCTGTCAAGTAGAGCATCGTTCGGATTCAACGTAGCAACTCCCATTCTCTTCATCAAGTTTTGTACAATTGCATTGGCGCGTCGCACGGCC